GTTCACCATCTGGTTGGCTGTGTACAGGGCCTGGAAGCTGCGCTGGTTGTCCTCCCCAAGGCCCTGAAACAGGTATCTGCCCTTAATCCCCCTCTGGAGCACAACTCTAGAACTAGGCCCCAGATGACCTCCCAAGTATCCCAGTAAGACCCCACCACCACCTCAAATCTCTGCTCCTCTTAGGGGTCCCATTCAGCACCATCTCTTTACATAAGGAAACCCTCTTCCTACTCTGGATTCCCAGAGTCCCAACAATCTGAACCCCAAATCAAAAACCAAAAAAACCCAACTTATCTGGAGCATGGACAATAGGGGAAATAGGGGTGTCAGTACCTTAGCAATGCCCAGTAGCAGCTCCAGATCCACTAGGAGCTTGTGGACATCCTGGTGGAATACAGCCAGCTCAGCTCGGCTCAGTCGGAATGTCTTCTCAAGGTCAGGGGCTGCAATCATGCTTCCCTTCCCAGCCCCCAGGAGGCCGTTGCAGGCTACTTCCACATAGAGGGTCAGGCTATAAACATAGGGCAGCAGCCTCAGGCCAAGAGATTGACAGAGGATGCTAGGAGCATAGGGAGGGACACATGGGAGGTATTCAATTGACCCCTCCCCATTCACCTCCAGGACCCACCACCCAGAAGATTCCATGTTTTATTTCCATGTGTGTGCAGGAGGATCATGGTAGAAACACCAGGTGAAATCCATTTCCTAAGTGTTCTGCCTTGGCCAGGGAGAATAGTGGCCAAGCTTAGAATCAAGTGAATTACACTGCTTTCTAGCTTCATATTTTCAAAGCTGCCTGCACAAGGAATGTCTGTCTCAGAATCCTCTTTGTATAATAAAGTCATGCTTGGATCTCTCAGGGCTGAGTGTTCATACCAAGCCAACATGGGGTGGCCATTCCTGGGTATGCCATCTCAGCTGTGAAACTGTTCTACTTAACCTTTAGAGAGCAAACTTGGCTTTCTGACTCTCCTCCTACCCCTACCTGGTCTAGCAGATTACCTATTGAGTTTCCAATATTTTCTTTCAGAACCCTCATTGGTTTTGTAATTATGAGTATTTCTATTTCCTTTTGCTGTTGAGGACATTATTTTTGTAGTATTGGGGATTGAACCCAAGGACATTTTACTACTGAGTCACATCCCCATACATGTATGTATGTATGTATGTATGTATGTTTTGAGACAGTGTCCCTTTACATTGTCCAGACTGGCTTTGAACTTACAATCCTCCTGCCTCAGCCTCCTGAGTAACTAGGATTATAGGCATGCACTACAATGCCTGGTGAGAACTAGGTTATTCATCACCATATTCCCAGTGTTTGGAACTATTTGAAACAGTTTCAATAAACATAAAATACAATAATGTATAAGAAGCCTTTCAGATGGTATCATAAAATCCTACATTATGATATGAAATGTTAAAAGTCAGGATGCAAAGTATCAAAGCAGGGCTGGGGGTATGGCTCAGTGGTAGAGGCTTGCCTAGTATGCATAAGGCCCTGGGTTCAATCCCCAGCACTGCAATAAAAAAACAAACAAGTAAAAATTTAGAAGCAATATAATCTTAACTGTAACTTTTCTTCTTTTTTTTTTAATTGAAATACTGAGAATATGAAAGCTGAGATGTTAATAATGGTCATCTCTAGGTGATAAGACAATGGAAATTAATTTCTTCGTGCTTTTCTGTATTTAGCACAAGAAAAAATCATGTTTTCTGAAAACAAACTATGTAAGATGGATGTATTAGAGGTAGGGGTGCTTTTGAGGTTACTTGGGCCCCAGCTCCTCCTAGATCAACAGGGCACAGGGACTCACTCACCTTCGGGGGTCTCCTTCTCCCAGCTTGTCAGTCAGGACATAACTGGTTTTCTCACCCTCTTTGGTCAACCCCTGGTAGGGAGGGGAGAAGAGAGGGCCTGAGGACTTTGGACAGTTCAAGTGAAATATAAGTTGAGGGAGGCCAAGTTCCTTCAAGTGGTCCTTAGCTCCTCTCTTCAAATTAAGGCCAAGATTGACAAATTAGGGACCCCTGGTAGTAGGTGCCTCACTCTCTAGGGCAGCCAGCACCATGACCCCCAAAGAGCACCTTTTATTAGCAATAAAGCCCATGGTCTTGAGTCCTGGGCAGGGGTTAGGAGGCCTGTGCACACCTTGAATAAATATCAGAAGGTAAACTCCATGAAGTTAGGGACAGGTTTGCTTTGTTCTCTGTGTCCCTAGTACTTAGCAGACAGTGCACCAGGAGACATCTGTCAAGCCAGTGAAGGAGGGAAGGGCTCTGTCTTCTTTTAGGTCAGGAAGAACAACAGTCCTAAACCCAGATCCAGAGTCCAAGCCAATTTGGAATGGAAGTTGTGTGAACCAGTGAGCAAACCTCTATGTATCTTCTTCTTAATGGACATAAAGACCTGTCACATAGGATTACGAAGACTAAACCTGATATAAAACTTTAGAGTTATATCTAGGGAATGAGATGGGGGAGTAGAAGAAACCTATTACTTCAGGGGAAAATTACATAACTGTCTTATTTTATACTACCTAGAACAGTTGAAAATTCCTCCATATGCATGTATTACATATGATAAACACTAGTTTGCTATAAACTACGGACCCACCATAGTGGTATCCAAGCAGTTACTTCCCCAGTCTTGAAATCCTGAGACCAGTCACAGGCAAAACCGTAACTGTTGTTCCTTCAAGACAGAGCTGAAATGTGGTCACACCTGGCTCTAGGGCAGAGACCCTCACCTGGACAGGTTCCCCATCACGCCAGACCAGGCCTTCTCCATCACTTTCCCAGCAAAGGTGAACTTCCTGGCCCACCCATGCCTCTGGGATGTTCAGCTCCACCCTGAACCAGCAGGTCCACCATCTGCAAGAGAGTCATTTTGATGGGCCTAGGACTGAAGTCCTGTCTGTCCTCATACTTCCTTGGATTATGTGTCAGCAGGGGTTTGATACTTCCTCCAAGTATCTGAAGCATCACAAGGTACTCAGCTCTGGGCCCCAAGAAAGTAGGAACCAGTGAACAGCAAAGTGAGGAAAAGAGGCAGAGGAATCAGGGGTCCTGATCAGGAAAATAAGGGATGTCCAGAGAGCATGAAAACTCTTCCATAAAGACTCTGAGGGACCAGGGAGCTGTTTCCAGCAGAGAGCGCTGCTCTGTCCCCAGCAGCTGTCTAGGGCAGAGGATAGACAATGGAGGGCTCTGCCTCAAGGTGGTGAGCAAGCCTGGAAAGGCTTCCGTAGGCTGGGCATTACGCACGTGGGTCCGAAGGTGTCGCCGACATGTGCGGGGCTGAAGTCCTGTTGGACTGCCTCCTGGTAGGCAAGCCTCTCCGGCGTCAGGAAGCTGGAGAGTGAGGCTACAGGGCAGCTATCCCCGAAGAGCCTAAGCGGGAGGGGACGGTGGGCGCGCGCTTGAGGCCACCCCCTTTCTGCCAGTGAGCCAGCCGGCAGGTGAGGGAAACAAACTTTCCCCCAGCTCACCGCCATGAGAACTGCCCCGCAGCACATCCCATCCTCTACCCATCTCCTGTTGAGTCCCGCCCTGTCCAATGCAAGCACCCAGTCCCGCGACCCAGCTGGCTACAGCCTGTTTTCTCCTGGAAGGTAAGGCTGAAGCACGAGGGTGCAATCGGCCAACTCCTCGCAAGGGGCCACACCTGCCACGGAGGTTACAGTCAGTAAAGTAGACAGGCGACACGAATTTTTCCACCCGCTCCAGCGTGGTGCGCCAGTGCTTCAGGGCTGGCGCCGCCATGATGCGCCCTCTTCCTCTCCCCGGAAGGTTCTGGGTGTTGCCTGCACGGTCCACAGCCTGGAACTAAACGTTCCGGCATCTGACAGGCGCCTTCCGGCCCGGGCAGCTTTTCTTGAAACACCGGCGGCTTTGAGGGGCCCAGCCACTGTCTGAACTTCGGGTTAGAAGCTAAGCTTTTGAAGCTCTCTAGTCTCTAGCAGGCCTCAGAGTAAATCCCTAAATAAAATGGTAAGCTTGGCAAAAGCTCTATAAGGATCTTGAGACAGACTTACAACTTATTCATTTAGCATGACAGGCGGGAGCCTTGGCTGCTACAAACCCACGGCTGTGAAGCAGCAATCTTTTAATTCCTTTGCTTTCTATTTCCAACACCAATTCTGGTTTAGGTATCCTGGCTAACAGGTAAAGTGTTCTGTTTAACCTGGAAAGTCGCCCAGATGGGTTTTTAGTGATCAGTTGTCAGAATGTTAAATAATAGGAAGAGATCTGCACCACAATAAGCCTCTCTTCCATGCTTTATATTATCTACATGAATCTCAACCACTAACTCTTGTTCACCACTAGAAATGAAAATTTTTTATTTGAGATTGCAGATCAGAGTCAGAGTATTGGGGATCCCAATAATGTATTTCACCATACAGGACTGCAGAGTCCATGGAAGCCATAATGCCAGAAATAATTTCATTCTCATCATCCCTACTGTATTAGAGCAACTAGTATGCTTCCTTCTTCCCCCTTCTGGGTTTGCTAGAATCTTGTCTACAAAAGTATTCAGAAGGTAAAATATATACACATTAGCCCTGATATTTTAGTGGAAATACTGACCAAGTTGACAACAGTTCAAAAGCAAGTCACGTATAAATGTGACCAAATTCAGAATGTCAAATGTGATTAGGTGCTTAGGACAATACTGTGTAGAGGCAGCAACACCTGTGGCTGACTGGGTCAGGCTAATTTTCCCCCATAGCCCCAAGTCATCATGATCTTTCTTGAGGGGGAGCACAAGGCAATGGGTGAATTATTGCTGAGAAAACCTCAAGTTTTTTTTGTCCCACTTAGTACTTATCACTTTTCCCCCAAGTCAGGATCTGTTCCAGCTTTGACCTAGAACCTCCTACTCCCACAGGGCTCTTTTTGCCATTCATCTGTTGTCACCCTGTAACACAAAGCCTAAAAACAAAGATATACCTTGTGTTTTGAAAATCACAAACTTTTTCTTTGTGTTGGTGTTGGGGATTTTTAATTAAAAAGTGAACAAAAAAATACACAAAACACTCTTGATTACAACTGTGACTAGTATGATTAGGGTGATGGTTGCTGGAAAAAAAAAACCCACCAGATGACTGAGGGCTAGTTAGTCTTTGTTCAGATAATCCAGGTTATTCACATATAAAATTCCTTATCATTCATGTTTAAATGTATGCCAATTAAATTTTATGTGATTAAAAAAATCTATCTCCCACTTGGAGTTGCTAAGGAAATTTATCAAATTCTCTCCCTCCCAAGCCCACTTGTACCTCATACCTTATACATACTTCTTTCAAATACTGGTTTGGTATTTTAAGTTGTTCACTCTCATTCCCAATAAGGAGAAGATCCAAAAAAAAAAAAAAAATAGTTGTAAATACAAGCTACATAGCTTAACAAACACCCAATATAAAAAGTATTTCAAGAGAGAAATACATGTACTAAAAGATTGAAGTATTCTATTTTTAAATTTTGGGGTATTTTGATTTGGGAGGAGTGTGACTATTGACTACTTAAAGCAAAATTCTGTTTGTACCCTGAAAAAGGAACTGAAGCCAGAATCACTGCTTCACAGCAGTTCTCTGGTGAGGATAAGGGACTTGGGTTGAAAATTTATTCCTTAAGTAAGAACCAAGCTTTATTTATGTACAAAAAAAAAGAAAAGAAAAGAAAAAGAAAAAGAGGAAAAAAAGAAAAGAAAAAGTTAGAGGTGAAGGAGAAGACAAAGTTTTACACAAAAGTACTACAATGGTAACTCCCTTTGGTAAAAAGTGTAATAAATGTCTTATACATCTGTTCATAGGTTCTAAATCTGAAGCCACATAGTACTATGGTACACAAGAAGCTAGAGCAATTATGCTAGCACATCAAAGCATATTTCTTTTAATAAAAAATTGACAGTATGTACATTATTTACAAAAAAAGAAAAAAAAAACAAGTTAAAATTGTGTGTGTGTGCATGTGTGTCAGAGTAAAGCTGGTGGATGGCACTAGGGTAGACTAGTAAAGGAGCAGGTACAAAACAGTTCCACGGGAGCTAAAAAGGACAACTGATTTGAACTTGTTGAAGTTGAGAACCAGAGGAGAGAGAAAGGGTGGGCAGCAAGGGATTTGTCAGGAATCAAATCCACAAGATGATTAATCCCTAAGCCAAACTGTGAGTCCCAGATAAAAACCTAATGGGTGATTTTAGATGTGCTCAAGTGACCAGGAGGAAAGAAGAAGAAGAAAAAAAAAAAAAGCCAGATCCAGCCTTTTTTTCCTTTTTGGAGGGAATGAAGAGGAGTGCTGATCATCAATAGTTACAATCCATTTGACTGTTAAGTCCTTCCCCAATCTGTTTTGTAAATGCACTTTCATCCAGTCAAAATGTGAACAGCATCCGGTTTTCTCATTGAAGGTCAGGAGACTATTCGTAGCTCTGCTGGTGTGTGCAAGCAAGCCACATTATCTCTGTGCTTGCATGGACTTCCTTCCCCTCCAGGGCAGGCTAATACTCAGAAATCCCCTGGGAAAAATGCCAGCTCAAGCTTTGTATGGTATTCACATTCCTTATGTGCATCCTACTTGGTGCCAGCTTGCATCAGTGGCCATGTCTCAGGGAGACCAGTGAGGCTTGAAAGGCATTGTCCTTTCTTCTTCAGTGTGTGTGAGCATGAGCGCGCACACGCGCGCGTACACACACACACACACACACACACACACCCCTCAAGTTATCTTCTCTGGTTTTGCAGTTAAGGGGCTTTGAATACTGTGCCGTATTTGACACGATACTTGTTAATGCTCACAAAGTGCAGGGTCTCTGTGTCACAGGTGGTGGTACAGGGCACCAGGCCCTCCAGCCCCTCACCCATGAGCCACTTGCTGGTCTCCGCTGCCATTTCACGGGGCACATGTTCCTTGGTCCATTTATCTACCCAGGCCTGGAACCTCTGATGTAGACGCTTGCTTACACGCTCATGGGACTATAAAACAGAAAAAAGGAAAAGAAAAAAAAAAGAAGCAGCATAACCAAAAAATCCCTTAAATACAAAGTTCAATTTTGTCTTAAAGTAGCAGAAGGAAGATGTGGGCTCTTAGATATTACTGGCTAAAAATTAAGTAGGGAAAAAAAAAAAAAAAAGAAGGCAATAGATATTTTCTGTTAAAAGAGAAAAGAATGTAAGAGCACTATAAGGAGATGGAAACCCATAAAACTTCTGAAGAATTACCAATACAGCACCTGGGCAGAGTAAGCATAATACGTCTCAATTTTAGTATACATCAGTATCACCTGGGGAATTTGTTAACAATACAAAATTTACTTAGTCCCACAAATCTGCCCCCCTCCCTTTTTTGTTTGTAGTGTTGGGTGATCAAACCCAAGATCTCACACATGTTAACTTAGTTCTACCACTGAGCTATATTCTTCAGACACAAATTTGCATTTGAATTCAGACATGCTGTTTCTAATGTACCTCAGATAAGAAATAATGAGCTCTTGCTGTTAAGTCTTTTCTATCAGCATGGAGATCTATTTCTATGACATACAGTGCAAAGTGAAGGTCTTAAATCTCACTCTCCATTTACCATTATTACCCTACTCTGGCCAGCAGAGTCTAGGCACAGATCTTCACTGGTATCCATATGAAAAGCATAGCTCAGCTCCCTGAAAAATCTGTATTAGAGACAAGCAGCTATACTCGGTGCCATGAGAAAATACATTAAATTGCTTGCCCTACATCTCTACCTTGAATGTTCTGTAGTCCCTTCCAACTTAACAGTTCCACAGTCTGCTTTACCTCCAAACTGAACAATCCCTTCCTGTAAACAGGTGTATATTGCTGAACTTTCAATTTAAGAATAACAACAAAAAATTCCCCAAATTAACCAGGCATCCTTGATGCCTCTTCATTTACCTCCACATTTGACTCACCACCACATCTTGTCAATTCTATCTCCAAATTTTATCTACAATCTAATTTGTACAATTCCACTGCTACCCTAGTAGCCTACTTCTTATTTGTGCCTTGAAGTAGTGGACATTTTCTTTGAATAGAAAAAACTTCTCCCTCAACTCTTCACCACACTGGCTCCTTACATTGTTCAGGCCTTGAACCTCACCTCCTTACAGAAATCTCCAACAAAGCAAGGACTGCATGTCAGTCCCTTGAGCCCTTCATCTGGTTTGTGTCCCTAGTAGCACATGTCATAATACCACATTTGCTCTACTTCATGGTTATGTCCCAGGGCCTGGCACAATACTCAGTACATAATTCATCAGGAAGGTAGCACAATGGCAACAGAATGTGAAAACAGAGAGGATCCATGCAAACAAAAGATCAAAAACCATTTGAAAGGTAAATACTGGGAAGAGCTTCACTAGAATGTGGAATCAGGTATTTGCTTTTATGGGTTAAACCATACATCCCAAAATTCCTATGTTTAAGTCCAGATATATCTAGGATATATCTGGATACAGATATTGCACCCAGGAAAAAAACACAAAGATCCAGAAACACCAACAATTGCCAGCTGAACACAAGAAGCTATTTTCCCTTCCAGTCTTCAGAAAGAACCAATCCTGCTGATACACTAATATTGAACTTCTAACCTCCAGAACTTCAAGATAAGGATGTACCAAAGATTAAACTCAGGGGCACTCAACGACTGAGCCACATCCCCAGCACTATTTTTATGTTATTTAGAGACAGGGTCTCACTGAGTTGCTTAGTTGCCTCGCTTTTGCTGAGGCTGGCTTTTATCTTGTGATCCTCTTGTCTCAAGCCTCTAGAGCTGCTGGGATTATGGGTGTGTGCCACTGCGCCCAGGTTAAATTTCTGTTCTTTAATTCACACAGTTTGAGGTACTCCACTACAAAATCCTTAGCAAACTAATGTACCTGCTTACCTAACACTTCTTAGTTTTAAGAAGAGTTTTTTTTTTTCTCCCCCCCCCCCCTTTTCTTCCCCTGTTATCAGGGATTGAACCCAGGGCACTTAACCACTGAGCCACATCTATTTTATATTTTCAGACAGGGCCTGCTAAGTTGCTGAGACTGACTTTGAACTTGTGATCCTCCTGCCTCAACTTCCTGAGTCACTGGGATTACAGGCGAATGTCATCATGATCAGAACAAGGAAGAAGAGGTTTTTAAAAAGAGAAGAAAACAATCAGAACCTCCCCCCACCCCCAGCCCACTCATGGCTAAGAAGAGAAATTTGTTACTGGTTCTCACCTGATGAGCCCGGAGCAAGGCAGTTCTTCGATACATGTAGTCCTCTGACTTGATCACATAAACCATCTTATAGGAATTGAGTTTGAACCTACACTCCAGCTTATCCAGGCTATCCACATTCTCCATGGTCTTTTTGCTGTTTCCTTCTTTCCCTTCCTTTTCCTGTTGTTCTCGACCACGCTGACACTTACGGATCCTGCGAAGATTCCTGCAAAGCAGAAAATGCCTGTAGGATGAAAGTTCATCCAGATGTAGATTTCTATAACTTCTACACCAAATGAGCTTTTCTTATTATATGCCTTCAGAGCACTTTTCACAATTTTAGTTACCTGTATTAAAAAATGTTCAAGGGTTTTATTGTAAAATAAAATAAAAAGTTAAATGGCAAAGATACACAGAATTTAAAAAAGTAGCAATTGTCAATCATCACACTCAACTAGGATGTTTTTCAAATGACAAAATATGATCATACTATATATTTTATTCAACTTTTTTCTTACTGTCATGATTTTTTTTTTTTTTTAATTTTACTACATAGATTTCTTTCTTTCACTCCCTCCCTCCCTCCCTTCCTGGTACTGGGAATTAAACCCATGGGTGCTCTATCACTGATATATGCCTTCTAGTCCTTTTTATTTTTTTGAGACAGGGTCTCACTAAGTGGCTGAGACCTCAAACTTGTGATCCTCTACACCAGCCCCCTGAGTAGCTGTGCTGGCAGATGTCACCACCATCCCAAGCTTTTTCATTCTCTTTAACTACTACAGAGTAATAACTTAACCACATAATAGAAAATAATTTGAAGGCCCATTTTAAATTTTTTTCCCGAAAGATAGCTTATACCCATTGCCATTTTAAATAGGTAGGAATGAAAATATTTACAACATCAATGGATGCAAAAGGAGTGGGGGAGTAGTGTTTTTAGCCTAATTCTCAACAACATTCAGTGAAGACAGGTTATCAGGTAGACAATGGTTTTGTTTCCCATAGTTTGCTATTAAAAACATTGTTTCAGTGAAGATGATCTTTGTAAACATGATTTCCATCCAATAGTAATGCTTATGTCAAGGACTTTTTTTTTTTTGGTATTGGGGATTGAACCCAGGACCACTGAGCCACATCCCCAGCCCTTTCTTGTAGTTTATTTAGAGACAGGGTCTTGTTGAGTTGCTTAGGACTTCGCTTTTCTTTTGCTGAGGCTGGCTTTGAACTCAAAATCCTCCTGCCTCAGCCTCCCGAGTCATAGGGATTACAGGTGTGCACCACCGTGCCCAACACTCTCAAGGACCTTTGAACATATTTGCAATCAATGTTAAGATTTAAATTTTTAGGCAAAACTACAAAATGTGCTTGATGAAATCAGTGGCAGCATTAGTGAGCGTGCCTTTGGGGGTGGGGTATAAAATGTGTATAAAATATAATATTATATAAAATAATACTATATATAGTATATACATAATATATACTATAGTATAAAATATAGTATTTTGTGAATAACTCAGTAAACTAGTATCTTCCAAATAACCAATCACATGAAGTTATGAAATCATGAATGAAAAAAAAAAATTCCTTCAAGGTATAAGATAAATCAAAGGATTTTCACATAATTATATGAAAAACTCATTGATATTTGCATTAATATTGCACTAACCTTTATGAAATTTTTAAGTTTTGTTGTCATCTCAAAGAATATTACAATTCTATGAAAACAGTCCTTTTCCAGCTAGATATGTGTGTCAAGCCAGATTTTCTCCACTTATTTAATACAACTGATTGAATATAGAAGCAGATAGAAATTCAGCTGTTTTATTAAGCCAGACATAAGAGATTTGCAGAATAATAAACAATATTACTCCACCAATTTTGTTTTGAATTAGTGAATTAAACATTTTAAACAATCTTCAGTTTTGGTTTCTAATACAGTAATTATTATCAGTATAATCCCCCTTCAGGCCTACCTCAGCAATTTAGTGAGGCCCTACGCAACTTACACCCTGTCTCAAAATAAAAAATAAATCAGGGCTGGGGATGTAGCTCAATGGTAAAAATGCCAATGGGTTCAATCACCAGGACAAAAAAAAAGTTGTGTTTATTCTGATTTGGTTTGTGTGTAAGGAGGTAAAATTTTTAGCATTTAATTCACGTCTATATTTACTACATGTCTTTTAAATTAGAAAATGCTTTTTTTTTTTTTAAAACGGCAGGTATGGTGACACACACCTAAAATCCCAGAGGATTTTTTGGGAGGAGGAGGCAGGAGAATCACAAGTTCTAGACCAGCTTTGGCAACCTAGCAAGATCCTGTTAAAAAATAAAAAGGGTGGGAATATAGCTTACTGAAAGTGTGTACCTGGATACCAAAAAAAAAAAATAGTTGTTTTTTATTTATTTATTTATTTTTTACTATATATGTTCTTTTAGATTTTACCTTTAGTCCATATTTGGGAAAAAAACCAAACAAACAAAAAAACAGTGTTATCTTGAAATTCATAAGATGTTGCTCATTGCAATTCTTAACATTTGCCTAAACCTAAGCATTGCCTGATGAGTTATTAAACTTCATAGAAAACATGTGCTGTATGAGCTATTCAAATGTGTTCCATTCAAATATTATTTTCAGATGGAAGTATAAACTAATAGATATAATAATTAAAAGAGCAATTCTGAGTTAGTTTTTGATGTTTGGGGGGAAAAAAAAAGGGGGAGGACAATATGTTTTATGTGATCCTTTTGACTCCATTTGCTGATTGTACCGTACATAGGCTGTTTGACCTGTAACCAGTTACTTCATCATTTATTTTATAAACAGCCAATTTTAAATTCCTATAATGAGAGGCACCTTTTTCTATCATTTAACTTATCAGTGCCTAAAATTATATGGTCTTAATGGTTGTGCAACTCTAAAATGTACACTTTGCCTTACATTTTTGGTAGGTAGAAGTGAGGATCCTATTTTATGATTTTATCTCCCAGTAGCTCAGGAATATGAGAATTAACTTCTGACAACACAGATTCTACTTCTACTTAATTCTACTAATTAAGGAAAACAGTTTTTATTGTAAAGCATTTCAAAGTCTCCTGAAGTTAAACACTGTTAGAAGTGCTAAATTATTAAAGCTAAACTGTCCTTAAGAAAGAAAGAAAACAAACCAAAGTTTTAGGCTTAAGTTTCTATACATTTTCATTGTCCTACTCCTAGAATAATTTTATCAGTTTCTATTGTTCTCACAGTATGAACACAAAAATCTTCAAATCTGGTGTAAAATACACCACTGTATGTTTCTGTCACACAGACTCCATGTCTGTTTTGTTGAAAGGATACTGGCACACAGTAATTAATCAAACTCTGCTAAATGAATCAATGAGTAGGGAAAACGGCAGGTACTCTTTTCCATGTTCTTGTTAGGAGTAGTCCAATAGTGAGGGAATACTACTACTTTTTTTTTCTGGTAGTGCTAGGGATTGAACCCAGCGCCTTGTGCATGCGAGGCAAACACTGTACCGTCTGAGCTATATCCCTAGCCCTGGAATACTACTTTTTTAGTAATGTAAGATTTCAATTCTAAATTTCCCATTCTATCTATTTTCTAACTTCTGAAATATTGTTCTCTCCTTTTTTCCTTATCTCCTCCCCTCCTTCCTTCTAGCACTAAAAACTGAATCTAGGGTTACTCTACCAATGAGCTATATGTCCCTCGCCCTTTCTATTTTTGAGACAAAGCTTTCATATATTGATGAGGTTGGCCTTAAACTTGCTATCCTCCTGCCTCAGCCTTCTAAACTGCTGGGATTATAGGCCTATACCACAGATGCCCAGCTAAAATATCATTTTCATACTTAGAAGATCACCATTACAATTTGCCTGAATATAGGGGGAGGATTTAAAATTCTATACCAGGGCTGGGGTTGTGGCTCAGTGGTAGAGTGCTTGCCTAGCATGCATGAGGCACTGGGTTCTATCCTCAGCACCACATAAAAATAGATATTGGATACATCTATAACTAAAAAATAAATGTTTAAATAAATAAATAAATAAAAATTCTATGCCAAAAAGTGTTAACACAGCAGCTCTAAGACTGCTATCCTTTGGAATGCCTGCTTAGAAGTTTGGCCCTTGGCTTGAGTGTGGCATCTAGGATTTGGGAAGATCTTCAGTTGCTTCCAAAAATCATGCAGTGGCCCAATATACCTACTAATTATACAAACTGGGATTTATGCCCCAAATTTGCTTTTCTTCTGAGTCTGGGATTTTGGTACATGTCTGAAAGAGGGCACCTACATAATTGGCACTCAATAAAACCCTGACATCGAGACTTTAATGAGCTTCCCTGGTAGACTGCATTTCACATATATTATTAGAAAAATTAAAAGTGTCTAATGTGACAACACTGGGAGAGGACTCTTGGAAGCTTGGGCCTTTTCCTCCAACTTTGCCACAGACACCTTTTCCCTTTGCCGATTTTACTTATAATTTCTTGATGTAATAAAACCTAGTTAAAGGTATAACTACGTGCTGAGTCCTCCTGATCAATCACCAAACTTTGCAGACTCCAATAACCCATTCAGTGCAGGGAAGTTACTGCTAATTCTTTAAAACTCTCACCTCCCTAATGCTCTGAGGCATGCTCCAGGTAAGTATGTATTGCTATAGACACACAAACCTTGAATTTAGCATCCTCAGCACATAGAATAAACAAGAATACATGAAAACCCAAATCTGATTTAACTCTCTAATCCTCAACTGTGCACAAGTATAGATTGCCAACTGGTGACTTGGTGCACTCACCTTGGAAGAAATACTGGTTTCTGTGCCAGATGTTCACGAAGTTCAGGAGAGGTAGTATCAGAATTCATATATCGTTCTACATAATCTGACCATCTCTAGGATGAAAAACACAAAATGGAAGTGGAGGGGAATCAAACACTGAGCAACATCCTCATCAAGCAGTTTAGTCAATTCTATGACTAACTGTACATGTCAAGATTAAAATCAGACAAAACCAAACTTTTCCCCAATGACATGTTTGCTACTCAATATAATTCTTAGATTTAAAAAATTTCGGGCTGGGGATGTGGCTCAAGCGGTAGCGCGCTCGCCTGGCATGCGTGCGGCCTGGGTTCGATCCTCAGCACCACATACAAACAAAGATGTTGTGTCCGCCGAAAACTAAAATAAATAAATAAATATTATTTAAAAAAAAAAAAAAAAAAAAAAAAAAATTTCAAAGCCAAGCATAGTGGCATACACCTAATTCCAATTACTAGGGAGGCTGAGGAAGGAGGATCGCAAATTCTAGGCCAGCCTGGACAACTTAGCCAGGTAGTGTTTTAAAATAAAAAATTAAAAGTGTTGTGGATGCAGCTCAGTGGCAGAACACTTCCTACAATGTAAGAGGCCCTAGAATTAGTACCACAAAAACAAAATGAAAAATAAGTTCTGTTACCCAGTAAGATGACAAGTTTCTCTGATATGCTTAAGTTATCAGAAGTCATAAATGGGGCTGGGCATAGTGATACACATCTGTAATACCATCAGGGAGGCTAAGGAAGGAGGATTGCAAGTTCAAGGACAGCCTCAGCAATTTAGGGAGACCCTGCCTCAAAAAATAAAAAGGGCTTGGGGTATAGTTCAGTGGTAGAGCACCCTCAGGTTTAATCCCCAATACCAATAGAAATCACAAATGAGTAGAAATTGGCTCACTAGCGTGTTTTATTTCCCCACAGATAATTTTATCTTACCTGCCAGACCAACTATAATAATCACATCATTCTGTCAATTCTATGAATTTACAATTTCTGGCTTCACCTAGCCTAATAAAAATTAACATGAAACAAAGAGTCAAGATAATGACAATAACATCTCATTTGTTGTTTCTTATACTTTATGAAAAACAGCAAAGATGCCAACCATGATTTCTCAGGAGACATGGCTTCACTGAGGGTAAGATGACACTGCCATCAACCTTAAACATCCACAGCAGTCAGCCATTCTCTTTAGTTAAAAACATGGCTGGAATGACCTTCACCTAGAGCATTCTGATCCCTCAAAAAGACCTCAGGAGCTTTGGTCTTCTAGAAGACAGGGCCATAAGGCACGCTCAGGATGTGCCAGTTCTGCTTGGCATACAGGATCTATAATACACTTGCCCATACCTCTGCTTCCACAGGATCATCTGAGTTTTCCTCTTCTGTGTCCAAAAGCTCAATGGTCAACTGAACCTGGCCTTGGCTCTGAATGAACATAAGCTGAAAATAAGAAGTCAAAGTATAAACAATAACAAAAATCTTGATTTTATCAGAGATTTTTTTTTTTAATCGGTAATTGCCAAAGCTATTAACATCTGAAGCTCTGGGAGTTGGGGAGGAAATAAAGTTCTAAGATTTTGTTTTAACTGAAGAGCTGAGGAAGATACTCAAAATTTGAGAGGCCATTGATTAAAAAACAAACAAATAAACAACAACAAAAAGTCCAATCTTGCTACTAGCAAAATTAAATAGGTACTTCTTGAATTAGCTAAAATAATAAATAATAAAAATAATAATAGCCATTAAGAATGCTTTAAAAAACAAGTATTTTGGACTGGGATGTAGCTTAGAGGTAGGATGTAGCCTGCCTAGCATGGGTGAAGTCCTGGGTTCCCCCCCACACCAAAAGAGATTTGTGTCCATCAGGGGAAAAAAAACATATGCCCATTTGATTGATAATCCCACTTCCAAGACTTCATACAAACATGTAAACAAGTCTATGGTGTTTAAAATAAAATGCTAAAGAAGTATTTTTGTGTCAGGTATGGTGGTGCAAGCCTGTAATCTCAGCAGCTCAGGAGGCAAGACTGGAGATCTCAAGTTCAAGGCCAGTCTCAGTAACTTAGGAGGCCCCAAGCAACTTAGTGCAATCCTGTCTAAAAATAAAAAAATTTAAAAAGGGATAGGGATGTGGCTCAGTGGTAAATCCCCAGTACCAAAAAAGTGTTTTGTTACAATGTCATAAATTGCATTTGAAGTTCTTGAAATTCTAGGTTCTCTTAAGATTATTTAAGATGTTGAAGACCCAGGTATCGTTATTGTCAACTGAGCAAAATAAATTACAGTACACTTTGCTTAGTATGAGTGCTTTCTAAATATACATTGAAGCTGGACATGGTGGCACACACACTGTAATTCCAGCAAGCTTGATAGTCATTTTGGGGTTTTTTTTTTGTTGTTGTTGTTGTTTTGTTTTATTTTGGAGAAGCGGGTGTGTTGGTACTGGAGATTAAACCCAGGGTGCTTGACCACTGAGCTGAGGCAGGGAGATGGCAAATTCAATCAAGATCAGCCTCAGCAAATTAGTGAGGCACTGTCTTTAAAAGGGGGGGCAGGCGGCGGACAGAGATCTAGTCCAGTGGCAAAGCCTCATTGGGTCATTGGATTCAACCACCAGTACTCCAAAACAAACAAAATTCAAGCAAGCAGTCTGCAAATGTTATCAATAATTATTTCTGGAAATAAGTCATTATGGTTGTCTAATAATTACTTTTTTATTTTTAGGTACTGGGATTGAACCTAGGGGTACTTTACAACTGAGCCACAGCCTCAGCCTTTTTTATTTTTAAATTTTGAAATAGGGTCTCAGTAAGTTGATGAGACTGGCCTTAAACTTGCAATCCTATTGCCCCAGCCTCCTGAGTTGCTGGGATTACAGGCATGTGCTATCACATCTGGTTTGAACATTCTTTAAAAATATGTACAGCCCCCCCCCCCAAAAAAAGTACAGTTCTGGTAAGGTAACTTGTTAGAGAGTATTTGCCTAGCATATACAAACCCATGGGTTTAATCCTCACCACTGCAAAACAACAACAACAAAAATATGTGTACATATATTTACAAAGCATTATATGAAAAAAGTTAACAGTAAAAGCAGAATACAAAATAGTAAAAATAAAACATAATAATCCCAGTGGCTTGGGAGACTCAGACAGGAGGAGGAGACACAGCCAGCCTCAGCAACAGCAAGGTGCTAAGCAACTCAGTGAGACTCTGTACAAAATAGGGCTGGGAGTGTGGCAGAGTGGTTGAGTGCCCCTGAGTTCAATCCCCCGTACCTCCCCCAAACAAACAAACACCCCAAAACCATAAACAACAACAACAAAAAACCACCCTATAGACCTCATTTTTAAAAAACACAGTAAAGGGGCTGGGGATGTGGCTCAAGCGGTAGCACGCTCGCCTGGCATGTGTGCGGCCTGGGTTCGATCCCCAGCACCACATACAAACAAAAGATGTTGTATCTGCCGAAAACTAAAAAAAAAAAAAAAAAAAACAAAGGAAAGAACAAAACTAGATTGTCAGGGGAGATGACTACTTCTACTTTTCCATGTTCTTTGTATTTCTTCTGATGAGACCATTAAGAGTTCCAGGAGGAAAATCACTTGGTTAAAATACTGCACTTTGAATTTTGGTACAGCCCTAATAACTTCAGTTACCAACAAAGGCCTGGTCACATGATCAACTCTCACCTTGAAGCAGTTCTCATCTGACATAAGCTGCTCTGCCTTCCGCTGATAGGTTGACTCTAGGAGGCTCCTTGAAGTCTGTGTGTTTAGCTGGCCCCCAGTGGCCCCATTATTGTTTTCTGCCAGATAAAGGTCAGTCACCTGCACACAAATCTCATCACTGACAATGTGCTGCAGCTGGAATCAAGCAAGGACAAGTCATCAGTAAACCAAAAAAATATTTCTCCCTATAATCTAGTCACTCAACTAGAAAAGTGAGGGTTTTGATTGGTAATTTTTAATAATTAATCACACAGAAGCACTGTTATCATTTTCTTGAAGAGTAACCAAGTGAAAGTCTGCAACTTTATTAGTGATTCATAAGTACAACTTTATTTAAAAGCAAAAACAGGACTGGGGGTACAACTCAGTGGTAGAGCACTTACCTACCATGCTTCTGGGTTCAATCACCACCAACAAAAAAAAACTAAATATAATTCTAAGGATCTTTAAGAATTTTTCCATGGCTCTTTTAGTTTTTCATTGGAGTACTAAGGATTGAACCCAGGGGTGCTCTACCATGGAGCTGTACCCTTGGCCCTTTTTATTTTTTGAGACAAGAGTCTCACCAAGTTGCTAAAGCTGGCCCGGAACTTGCAATCCTGTCTACAGAGTTGCTGGGATTTTAGGTGTGTGGATTGGCACCTTTTCTTCTTCTTCTTCTTCTTCTTCTTTTTTTTTTTTTGTACTAGGAATTGAATCCAAGGGTTCTATTTTAAGATAAGGTCTGAGTTGCTTAGGGCCTCACTAAATTGCTGAGGTTCCCGATGAATTTGCAATCCTGCCTAAGCCTCCCAAGTCGCTGGGCTTATAGGAGTATACCACTGTGCCCAGCTTTGGCTCATTTTTATTAGCACTTTCTATTATTTACAATTTGTCTTCATACATATCCTTTTTAAAATATTTTTTAAACTGTTGAAAGACTTTTATTATTTATTTATTTATATGCAGTGTGAAGAATCAAACTCAGTGCCTCACACATGCTAGGCAAGTATTCTATCATCGAGCCACAAATCCTGCCACTGTCTTCATATATATTCTTATTTAGTTCTCAAAAAAAAAAAAAAAAAAAAAGCAGGATGGAAAGGAAGTCCTAATATTCTTTTTTTAAAAAAATATTTATTTTTTAGTTGTAGTTGCACACAATACCTTTATTTGTGGTGCTGAGGATCGAACCCAGGGCCTCACACATACTAGGCAAGCGCTCTACCACTGAGGCACAACTCCAGCCCCCTAATGTTCTTTTTGAGGTAACTATGACGACTCATTTTTAACACTAAATAGTCTTAAAATGACAAGTAGGTATTTGTAGATAACTGGACACAAGGCAGAGTCAGAAGAGTGGTTTGAGGGAGGAAGAAGGGGCAACTGCAGATGATTACATAAATTACAATAAGTTGATATAAAGGATTCTGATATTATTATTAAAATAACACTGATTTGGTTACACAATTAAAAGCTTAACATACAGTGTATAAGAGAATTAAAAAGCAGGGTGAAAAAGTATGTCAAAAGACTGATCTCTCTCTAATATGCAGATGCTTTCAGTTAATTACTTTCTTATTAAAATAGACTAAATTAGCTGGGTGTCACCATATGTTATGCATGCCTGTAATCCCAGCAATTCAGGAGGCTGAGATTGGAGGATCTCAAGTTTGAGATCAGCCTCAGCAACTTAGCAAGGCTCTACACAATTTAGCAAAACCCTGTCTCAAAATAATAAAAAGGACTGGGGATGTGGCTCAGTAGTTAGTGCCCCTGAGTTAAGTCTCTGGTACAAAAAAAAAGACTGTCAATGAGTCTCTATTTATATCCTCTTTTTGTATCTGGCCCTACCCTGCATCTTTGGAAAGGGTAGCACTACAAATCCAGAGACAACTGGGTATCCCCACTTTTCCCCACCCTTGAAGGCTGGCCATGTTCTCTCTCCTGGTAATTTGAAATGACACTCGGAAAGTATTATGTCAACTTTTTACAGAGGAGCAGCTACTTGAAAGGCTGGGGCCAAAGGCTTTTCTGGCAAGTCTAAGAGGAGTGGAGAAGGCTGTACATGCTGAACATTCATCTGTAGAGAAACATGAGAAAGAAGCAAATGGCCAGGATGAAGGGATCCAGGAGAGAAGAAAAACTTCCTAGTCTTGCCCTCACATGGTATGATCATATTCTGAATTCTGTACTTATAGATTGTGAGACTGCCTATTGTATACTTAAAAACTATTCCCTCTCAAGTCAGTCTGGAAAAGGTAAGAAAAATGTATGGCTTGACCATGAAACATGTTCTAACCTCCAGTTAGCAATGTACTCTAGGAGAACACCAAGTGAGAAAAAGAGAATGAGAGAAGAGATGCTTCCTGTTAAGATGAGAAACAAACATGGCTTTAAAAACTCACTGATTTGTGGGTCTGGGGTTGTGGTTCAGTGGTAGAGCACTTGTCTAGCATGTGTGAGGCACTGGGTTCAATTCTCATGATAATTGAACTGCATATAAATAAATAAAATAAAGGTCCACTGACAACTAAAAAATATTAAAACAAAACAAAACCCAACACCTTACTGATTTGACCCAGGTGCGGTGATGCACTTCCTGTAGCTTGGGAGGTGGAGTCAGGAGGACCACGCAAAGCCAGCCTCAGCAAAAAGCGAGGGGCTAAACAACTCAGTAAGACCCTGTCTCTAAATAAAAATAGGGCTGGGGATGTGGCTCAGTGGTCAAGTGTCCCTGAGTTCAATCACCAGTATAAAAAGAAAAAAACAAAACAAACAAATAAACAAAAAAACACCTCACTGATTTGAGGTGTTCTGAAGGAAAACTGTTTCCTTAAAAAAAAAAAAAAAAAAAAAAAAAGGTTGAGACAGTATGTGTATCAAAACCTCAGGCTTATAAGGCTTATAAAAAGTTTTACTGGCTTTCTTTGAAAATTGTTGTGCTGGTGGTTATGAAACTTTATTCCTTGCTATAGCAAACTCAAACTTGTAAGCAGAAACAGGTAACTGGAGTTATTATTTTATATATATTTAAGGGATTGACAGTTTGTTTTTCAGAAATTGTGAGCATAGCTGACTGTATCTATGTAACGATGTCTGTCAGTCACCATTATGGTAAGGCCCGACAATTTCTTCAACTTTGAGGAAGACAACTTTTTCTAAGACCCAAGATTCAGTCATACGAAGCTTTCTTCCTAATCTTTGATATTGTGGGAGGGGTATAGAGACATGCATCTTTCCAAAATCAAGACAAAAATATGGGTAACTTCACAAAGGATTCAACATTTTATCCCAAGAGAAAACTGAGCAATAAGCCTTTTCCTTATATAGTGGCAGTGTGGGTTCTAGGGTTAGAATTACTATTTGCTTTTTCCAGGTTTTACTTTCCAAAAGTTATGTATCCACCGACCCTGATCTCTCTGGGAGCTCAAGCCAAGAAGTAAAAAACTTGACCATACATTACGAGGTATTTGTTACAGATATTATTGTAAAGAACCACTTATTTACAAACTTTCAAGAACAAAACATAAAACCAATCAAATGTGTAATGTGGAGTAAAACTCAAGATGGGTAAAATGGGCAAAATATTGAAAAAGATTTTATATGAAACCCTTCTTGGTTTCATATAAAATACAAGCAAGTACACAGAATTAGCATCCATGAATGAGATATTATACACTGCTGACTCCTCACAAACAAGAGAAAGAATAGGAGGGCAGGGAGCTGGCCTTTGTATCTCTGTACTCTGTACATGTGGCAAGGAAGCAAGGGTCTGAGGAGGGTATACACTACTGTGAGGGCACACTCGAGAATAAAGGAGCCAATTCTGAGGCTGGATTAACCACACTTTGTTAACATGTGAAATCAGACTTCATCTTAACCCTGCCCTTTCCATTTCAGAATGATGCATTTATAATAACTGTTATTTGAACAAACTGCCTTTCCTTTTCCTACAGAAATCTTGCCTTTCTTTTAGGTAAGAACTTTTTCCCTCACAAGCACTAACCTCCACCATGCCCTCACCTGTCTGACGATGCTCTGGATAAGTTTGTCCATAGTAAAGGCAATGTAGGCGTGAATGGTGAACATCTCTCTCAGTGAATCTTCATACTGTGATGAGTCTATGTTGCCATCAAGTAGGCTCCGCACCATGTCCAGGAAAGCTGGGTAATAATCTTCTACATCAACATCCACTGTGGGAGAGATAAGATAGGTGAGGTCTTACCCTGCTAAGAAAAGATCAAGGACAGAGGGCAGGGAAAAATCCCACAGCTGGCCCAAACAGTATTTGAAAAGGCAAATAAATACTAGATATTCAAAACATATTCATTCAACCCACAGCAGACTTGAGATGAAATCTGACAGGTGGCTATAATCACCAGTGCTGGCTATGAAAGGACAGTGACTCTGCAACTTCAACAGTGACTTCTAACTTCTGATTGACTGTGCCAGAAAGATACTTTATAGCACTGCTGGGTTCTTCTTGATAGAACAAAATACACCAGGGAAGAAGGGCCTTCAAAGAAGTTATTTCTCTAGCCTGCAGAAGAGCATTCCTCACAGCAATTATTTGCTCATAAAGCTACTTCAATGAAACATGAAATATATTTGAGAAAAGACACACACTGTTCGTACACTAGCACTGGGAAATCGCTTCAGAACAGAAGTATTAAATCCTCTATGAATAATGAAGTAATCTGCATTTGTCAAAAGTCCTTTTGTTTAAAAATGGATTTGCAACATTGTACTTCGAAAATTGCAATAAATGATCTGTACTTGCCCCACATGAATCACTGTCAACCTCTAGCTAGAATGAATCTTACTTATCACTAAAGAGACATCTGGCAACTAGCAGAGGGCACAAAGAACAGTAAAAGCTCTCTTGAGCTTACTAAAATAAGCCCATTAAAGTTCAAAACCTATTCTCTAAGATAGTGGCACAAAGAAGCTACCGAGTTCTTGGTTACATTCTCTTTCTTGAAAACAAAGGTGTTCACTAGAAAAACTCATTGAGCTGTACAATTCCGATTTGCTTACATCTTTGTATACATGTTGCACTTCCAAAAGAATGACTAAAAATGGGACTGGGGTTGTGGCTCAGCAGTAGATCACTCGCCTAGCACGAGCGAGGCCCTGGGTTCTATCCTCAGCACCACATAAAAATATTTTAAAATAAAGGTATTGTGTCCAACTACAACTAAAAAAAATTTTTTTAAAAATGACTAAAAATGAAAAAAAAATTAAAATACGTCTGGAGATGTGTCTCAGTGGTTGCCCTTACTTCAATCCCCAGTACTCCCACCAAAACAAAGCAAGTTAATAGCAAAACTGATCTATCTTCATTTTTGGAGGTGGGATGAAATCATGGATAAGCACAACAGTACAATTACTATGTAAAAGAAGGAACTGACTTGAATTACCTCAGATTACAACCAGTTTGAGGGATGGCACTATCACAAGACAAAACTATACTTTAAAAATCAGGTTAAGTCAGGTCTCAAGCCAGAATTAGGCCATTATATCTCTAATTTCTATCCAAGCAGAGGAATCATTACACTCGGTCCAAAATTCTTTTTGAAACTAGGATTAATTCAGATAAGGGCTTTTAGAATTAATTCCCATTATTATTAGATTTTTAGTACACAGAAAATTGGGGCCATTCATGGGATTCCTACAATAGCACCCATTAAAAAGAACACCACCACCATCCCTCACTCCTCAGATTTTCTATTTCCTGAAGAACCCAGTAAAAAGGCCTCATGAAAAAGTTTTTGGCTCACAGGTCAAGTACCTAATTTATGAACTGAACTGTTATATGGTGGCTTCATTAACACTCCCTTATTTTCCTTTTCTTGAATTTTCTGTCTTTATTTTTATTCTACTATGCCTCACACCACCTGTATTACAATCTCCTTTTCAGAAACTATTCCTACTTATTAGGAATGAGCCATGAACCCCACTAAAGAGAAGTCCATTCTCACACATCTGAGAAAATTCCCATCTGTCTTAGGCATGATTAACTAGGAACTGATGTACTTTCTTGGTGTGAAATTGAAGTCTCTGTTGTCTGTACATTATGAAGTAACCCTGAGATTTATCACTTGGGCAGTTGATCTCCTGTCCCCAGTGTGTCTACAGTACCAACAATTGGTGCACTGTCTATGATCCAAGCAGTGTGCTATGCATATTTTCTTATTTCCTAGCAAGTCCATAAGGCAACACTTAGTGCCTCCATTTATGAAGTAAATAGGTTCGCCGGGTTAAAGTAAACTGGAGAGGTAGGATTTGAACCTAGTTCAAATATGGCCTGTACTCTATGCATAAAAGAAAGCACTACCAAGTATAACTAGGTAATGAGGTCCCCAATCCCACATATCCTCTGTGAACCAACAGTCTAGGCACTCACTAGGTTCTTTGAGCCGTAACTGGATGGCAGGGCTCTCACTCTTGTCTCGCTTTATGCCTAGCACTTCACGTTCCCACTCTCGCTCTCGGTTTTCTTCTTCAATTTGCCGTTCAGCTTGGGAACAAATGCGTAGCAGCCTCAAACACAGAATCTGGTGTAGTCGCATAAATATATACCAGTTGTTATTGACATAGAAAAGGTTGTATACTTCATCCATCCCTCTTAACTTTTGAGCTGCTGTGTTACTAAATAATAGCTTTGACTTAGGGGGACTGCCCCCAACACCATTGTGCTTCTTGGCTGCCCCTGTGGCTTCATCTACATCCATCTCTTCTTCTTCTTCCTCCTCTACATCAGAAAGATCACCTCTCTGAGCAAAGAGCAGATCTGGAATGAAATGATGCATGATTTGCTTGATTTTATACTTGTCTTCCTTCTGAATGCCTGTTTGCCTCTTCACATGATGGATAATCAGAGCAGCAGCATCTTCCAGTATCTGTTTGTCTTCATAGGCCAGTGAGAGGTGTGGACCAACAGGTACACCAGCATTCTCTTCTGTAGCCTGCTCTTGCCTCTGATGGGAGAGACAAAAGTATTGTGTGACATGTTTATATCCACAAACCTACAAGACTCACAAGTAGTACATTCCATTAACAACCACAGTGGTTAACTAATCCTAAAATTAAGGACTGACCTGAACAATAATTTCTGTGCCTCTTCCAGAAACAAATAGGTAACGTGAAGATGTGTTTGATGCAAAAATATGACTTATAGGGATAATGGGATAGAATTAGAACCATCTTTTACAATTCTGGATTAGTATCTGTGCAGGATACAATGAGGACTGGGACTCACAAAATAATTTGGGGGGGTAGGGGTGGGGGAGGGTGATAATATAACACTGAAAAAACATGGATAGGTTAAGATTATGTAAGGGCTCATTTACTATTATTTTTAAAACTCAGGAACATAGACAATTTCTAAGAATTCCCACTATACTGCATTTCTATTTCTATTTCCTAAGACTATAAGCTCACAGAAAGAATTAATTTCTTAGAATTCATCTCTGTATTGTAGCTCCTAGTACTATTTATAGTACTGATAAGTGTGCTGAGTAAACAAGAATTAAAAAGAGTTGAGGTCAATGATAAGTTTTTAGGTTGTAGCTGAGGTTGAAATGATCTATATGAATATGAATACAAGGCATTGTTTGAGGGAAATATATGGTGGAAGGAGTGGGAGGACGAAGGCATGAGGTAAAATCTGAAACTAGTGAAACTGTAAGTATAAGGGTAAGGCTTAAGTTTAAAATGGTAGGATCGGGAATATAAAAGGTTATGACAGCCATGAACCAAGACCTGGCAGGTCTTGGAGGGTATCACTTTCCTATAACAAAAGTAATTTCCAAAAATCAAAGCTATGCTGAACATGAAGACTGGAGTCTCTTCAGATGCAGAACCCTCAGCTCACCTCATCATAAATACTCTCAATCTCATTGAGTAAGCTCTTAGACCTCAGGACCTTGGTGTCATTTTGTTTAAAGTTGATGCCCTGGTGGTCCAGAGACTTCAAGTAGTATTTCTCGTTTTGCTCTCGCCACACCTTGTTAAAGCCTCTCTGAGCTTCTCGCCATTCTTCCTCTTTCATCTTCAACCTAGTGGGGGTCAGAAAAGGGGTGGAAACAATATGTGGGGATTCAGAGGGTTTCAAAATAAGAAAGATGGCAGGCTTACTTTCTTTCAAAAGTCAAAGATGCAAGGTCTTTCAAGATTATTGACAATTTGAGATAACATCAAACCAATCTTGAATTTTATTAAAAAAGAAAAATACTCATTCAAAACTTACTTCAGGGAAGTAATTTTCCCAAGTCAGAAATCTTACCCAGAACAGTTAATTCTCAGAAAGCATTTCAAGGACTGCAGGTGTAGCTTAGTGATAGAGCACCTGCCTAACATGTGTAAGGCCCAGGGCTCAATACCCAGCACCATAATTTTTTTTTTTTAAGAAAACATTCCACACTATGGCACACAGTAGTAGATCATTAAGTATTCTTTGAAAACATGGTTCTTTTCCTTGGCCAGCTAAAACAAGGTTAAACCTATTTCTCTATTACATGACTAATGTTTACTAATGCTAAAGAAAATACAAAGTACAAGAGCAGAGAACTTGCACAAAAATGTTCATTTGGACAGTCTACAAAACTGCGACCAGAACAACTAATTCTAATGCTCCAGAAGAATAAAAACCAAAAAAACACTACAAGTAAAAAATACACTATGTCTCAAAAGCCAGAAGTTACATGCTACTGGTAAGAAGAATAATCAATTTGTGTCAGATCTTGAGGGAAACCCTAGGTAAAAAAATAAAAAGCTGGGTATCTGTGAACTGTGTAGCAAACCAGAATTAACTTTTACCAGGTGACATTGAAAGGAGAGTCAGTTACTAATAAAAGAATTAGTGTGGGCAAGAGTGCTTTAGACTTAGAGCACAGGGGGGCTCAGCCTCCTGCACTAATGCCTGGACTTAGGTGGGCATAACATGTTGCTCCTTTACACCTAAGTCTGACATGGAAGGTTGTTAGCTTAGCTATAAGAAGTAAGATATTCTTGGCAAAAACAGTAAATGAGGTCCTTTTTCATAATGAGCATGTATCAGACTTTACAATGACAAAGTGACTTTTTTTATTAAAAGCTGAATTAAGACATTTACAGTAGTTAATCCTCAGTGGCAGGAATACAGATACTTGTTTCCTTCTTTGTTCTTTTTATATTTTAAATCTAAACACTCCCGAGATGGCCAAGGTGCCTACCTGTAATCTTAGCTATTTGGAAGGCTAAGGCAGGAGGAACACTTGCCCCCAGGAGTTTGATGCTGGACTGGGCAACATAGTGAGAACCCCATCTCTTTAAGCTCATTAACTAAAAATGATAAAACCCTTCAACTGTACACACAAAGCACTCCACTATAAACTTTCAAGATTTGTTCTTTAATGTTGGTTACACAGAACCCCCAAAAGAAGTTCTACTATCCAACCTGTGCGCCTGATATCCAAACACCAGAGCTGGAGCACATTGGAGGTCTCATGGGACAATCAGATTGAAAATTAAGAGCCTTATTTAATGAGACACTGAAACATACTAAAGCACGAAGGGCACATTTGCCTGGGTACCTTTTAAGGACAATAGGAACAGCAATGGAGGGATTTTTCCTCAGACCATCAATGATGTCAGCCGCTTTATCAGCATATATCCTCTGGAGTGCTTTTCGATGGATGACTTCCGAAGTACCCCCAAGTGTGTTATCCAGGCGAAATTTGGCTTGTTCCTCAGCAGACAATCGGGAAAGCTTTTTCTGTATTGCTTCTAGAACTCGGATTGTTGCCAGATTGGTCTCTAAAACTACATCAAGCTAAAGAGGAAGACAAAGGTGTCAGGATCTAAACCAGAATAGAGCAGTGGTTGGGAGAATAAAGTAGGGAGTCAAAACACTCTGGATTTGAATCTGTCATACTAGCCAAATATGGATTAAAACACCTACTACTCTCATGAAGTTTTTTTTTTTTTGAGTAAATGATATGATCCATGTAGAGTGTTTAACACAATGCCTGGCAAACAAGAAACAGCCAAGATTTCCAACACTGCGCACACACACACAGAAATCCAATAAAAATGGAGTAGTAGTTATTATTATTCCTATTATCATTATTATCACCACCACCACCACCACCACAGTATGCTTAGAATTGCTAATCTTAGGTGAGAGGGATTTAAAAGGCAATTTCATTGAAAATTCTCTCTGAACCTTCCTAAATTGCTAAGACCTGTTACAGTTAAAACAAACAAACAAACAAACAAAAAACAACTCCCAAAACTGAGAGTTCTACCCATGGTTCTATCTATGGGTAGCCACTTAAATTGTTACTGAACTGCTGGCACTTATTCTTAGGCAACAACCTACCTGTCCTGGCAACATTTAAATATCTTTTCCCCAAGCTTAAAAAAAGAATCTCTAAATAAGAAATTCTAAAAAAGCGAATTAATAGTCTCAAGGGACTAGTGTTTCCTAAATTCTCTTATTTTGGGGACTGCAGCAGGCATCAAGTATTTCTAGCTCTCTGCCCTCCCCAATCTTCCTGGCTCCTAGATGATTAGATAGGGTAATATAACTACTTCTGGTAAATGAGCTGTGATGAGGTGAGAAGCAATGTTTATTATTTCAAGACTGGAACATTTAGGTGTGTGAGGTCCTTCTGAGCTCTCTTCATTCTAGGGACTAGCATTCAAAATAGTAGCACTGTTAGCATAGGTCCCTAAGTAATTCTCATGAGCAAAATCCACTGTTAAACATGAAAACACAACATAGCATGATAAATAAGCCTTCTGTTTTTCTAAGTCACTGAGATTTGGGAGTTGCAACACTCCTTCAAATAGTCTATTCTGCCAAATTCGAAGCATATACACACACCCAACAAGCCACACTTCTTCTCCTTTGCCCTTAGAGTCATAAATGGAAAATGAAGATGTTGCCTCTCGTTTGCAGGCGTTAACAGTTGAGAAAGAAAAGGAACAACTTATTGTAACTGAACTGCTGGCACTTATGTTTTCCAAGTCATCTGACCTTGCTAACATAGGTAATAAAGAAATGCTTTCTGTAGTTTGATGAAAGTCCCCATGGGTGCTGGGAATGTGGCTCAGTGCTCGAATGTTTGCCTAGCTTGCCCAAGGTCCTGGATTTAATCCCCAGTACAGCAAATAAAACAAAACAACAACAAACAACTCCCCATGGAAGTTAAGACCTATCATGATTGAATTTTCTGCAAATGGCTGACACTGTTCATAAATCCTGAGGCTAAAGATGGCCAACCACTTGCCAGTAGCCAGGCAATATGTGGTTCCTTGTTGAAAAAGATATCTCCTATCCATATGAATTAGCAGAGCCACTCAATGTACACTAAACTGGATATACTTAATTTTACATCTGTAAAGATATACGTATGTACTTCCCTTGACGGTAGCATAAGTAGACTTCAATCTGAATAATGGGGATTTGATTTTATTTCAGTAGTCCTCTCCTAATATAATAGCATTTTACTAACTCACTAATTTAAACTCTAGCTCACTCCTTCCCAACTACTTTAACACATAAAGCCCCCAACTTAATTTTCTTCCCAGAGAAGCCAAATCAATATGAATTACATGAGTGAAGAATTCACACCTTAAAACAACAACAACAACAACAAAAAAAAAAAACAGGATTGAACCCAAGGGCATGTAACCACTAGCCACATCCCCAGTCCTTTTTTGAGAATGGGTCTTACTAAGTTGCTTATAGCCTTGCTAAATTGATGGGGCTGGCCTGGTACTTGCAATCCTCCTGCCTCAGCTTCCCAAATCACTGGAATTACAGGTGTGTGCCACCCCACCTGGCAGAATTCCAGTTCCCACAGTAGAATTGGTTTGCTAACCATACCAAGATACCAGGCTAAGCATAACAATACAGAGAACTTAAAAATATAAATCTTTCAAAACAACTTCAAGAAAGCAATATAGATCTTAAGATACTAATTTTACAGATACATATAAAATTTTTTTTCTAATACATTAGACAAAATGCAGAAAGCATAGCTACTATCAGTATAAGCATTTACCACAGAAGAATGTGAGCCTCTGGTTCTCTGATCTTAAAATAGCCAACCTTCACATATCATATTTAAGATATCCTTTCACTTAGTATCTCCCATTTCCACAAACTTCAAATGACAAATGAGTGTATTACCTCAAAGCGCTCATCTTCACAACGATAAATATGTTCTTCATACTGAGTCTTCTTAGAACTAACAAAGGTGGAGTCTTCAGACCATGATGGAAAGGAAACCCAGGTATCATTTAAAACCTTCGGGTAGAAAAAGAGAGACTGTAAACCTAACAAAAGCTTTCTGGTGATTAACCATTCTCAATAAATAGAGGCTCTTTTGGGGGGTACTAAGGTCATTTAAAACCTTCGGGTAGAAAAAGAGAGACTGTAGCAAACCTAACAAAAGCTTTCTGGTGATTAAGCATTCTCAAAAAATAGAGGCTCTTTTGGGGGGTACTGAGAATTGGTGCTCTACCACTGAGTTACATCCCCAGTCCTTTGCATTTTTTGAGCCAGGTCTTGCTAAATTGCTGAGACTGGTTTTGAACTTGCAATCCCCCATCTCAGCCTTTAGCATCACTGGGACTGCAGGTATAAGCCACTGTTCCCAGCTTGGAGAAGGTTCTTAATTCTATTATCCAGATAAATCCTTAAGCCCTGGTACCACTGCTCTCTTCTGAAGGAAGCTAAGAATTCAGGGCTGATCCTTACCTCTTTACAGAGAGGAGTCCGTCCTGTACACTTGGGCTGCTGGTAACTCTTGGGCAAGGCTCGATAGCTAGAGCCAAGCCGTTTACATGAGGCATAATCTATCTCCATGGCAATGCCCTCTGTGGCTCGTTCCTTCGGAAAGGTTTCCAGATGTACAGATTCCTTATAGCCCAGAAAGTTTTTAAACCAATTAAACAATTCAGGGAATTTCCTGAAGAATCAAACCAAAAACTGGTAAACAATTAGAGCCATGATATAGTAATCCCAAGGTAAGACTTCCACTATTTGGGGTTGGGTCAGAACTCTGCTACCAGAAACAAATGCCATTGACAATTACTTCCTAAGAAACACCGGTTCTAAGCATTTGGTTTCCTGTTATAGAATGCTCTCAGATCAATTAAGGTGCTAATGGAAGATTTGCACTGAAACTAGGCAATAACCAGCCTTTTTTTTTGATCAAGAATATTGCTTCAGGTTCACATAATTCTTAGGTTGTTAAATATAGTCAAGATTCTAGAACCTGGGAAAGATTTGTCTCTACAAACATCAAGCACTTTGTTAGAGAATCAGGAGACAACTAGTCTTGGCCATTTGTAGATAAATATTTCAATGTACACTCTGCCTAATTTCTAGAGTTAGATTAGAAGATCTCTTAGAACTCAACACTGGCATTTGAGTCAATTGACTTATCTCAATTAAATCAACTTTGCCTATCATATACTCTCACAAATCAATTATTACTTTATTTTCTTATCAGAATCAGGGGTTAAGTACCTCACTTTACTTACCCCAGAAAAGGAGAGACTAGCTGCACAAGTTCAGCCCGAGAAATCACCTCCTGGTTAAAGATAACAAGACAACGCAGGAAATTTTCATAGGCCTCTGCACTTCGTAGAGCCTTTCGCACCTTATGGAGATAAACAGAAGAAAGATGGTCATGTGGGGACTCAAGGACTTGAACTACTTTTTAAAAATTGGGGAAATTTTGACCTGATATTTGATGATAAAGGAATCAATGTTAGTTTTTAAAAGATGCAATAATGATCATATTTTAAAAGAAGTCATCTTACTAAAATTTTTATTGATAAAATAATGTATCATCTGACATTTGTCTCCAAATAAGCTAGGATGAGTGAGAAAACATGAGTCAAGTGTACTGGCTAGGAGTTGGAAAGGGCAGAAGCTGGATGATATATAAGGGATCATTTTATTCTTTACTTTCATATGTTTTAATATTTCAACAATAAAAATTAAAAAAATCCTAGAGTATACATCCTTATATACTTGCTTCTCCAGACCATGTTAGATTTACTGGAGCTTTTTTTTTTAAAAAAATATTTTTAGTTATAGATTGACACAATACCTTTATTTTATTTATTTTTTCATGTGGTGTTGAGGATTAAACCCAGTGCCTCATATGTGCTAGGCAAACGCCCTATCACTGAGCTACAGCCCTAGCCCCTACCCAAGCTTTTAATGCTCTTCCTAACAGGGGGTTTAGAGCAGCAAGAATTTCTGTCAACACTGTTTTCAAACTAGTAATCTTAAATGAAGGCATTTTAAATTAAAGATACTTCTGTCTTCTGACTTGCTCCTTTCCCTTACTTCTATTTCACTGAACATTTTATTTACATACTTATTTTTTTGGTACTGGGGACTGAAGCCTGAGGCACTTAACTGAGCCACATCCCCAGCTGCATTTTTATTTTATTTTATTTTTTAATTTTGAGATAGGTTTTACTAAGTTGCTGAGATTACAGGTGTGAGCCACCATACCCAGCTGAACATTTTAATATTCCAAAACATAAAGAAGTCATTGGTACAGAAGAGAGTAAAACTAACCTAACTAGGTGACCAATCTGGAGTTTCAGTTACAAAAGTAAATAGCATTGTGGTTCTTTGGTGGGGACTGTAGACTGTCACCAAAGTTCTTTATTATTAGCACTTCCCATTTCCACAAACTTCAAATGACAAAGGAGTGTATACCACAAAGCGTTCATCTTCACAATGATAAATATGTTCTTCATACTGAGTCTTCTTAGAACTGAACTAACAAAGGTAAAGTCTTTTCTCCAAGACTACAACCTTTAATAGTAGACTATTCTTTTCATAACTGTCCAGCAATAGATACTGTATGGAATATGAACTTTTAAAGCTAAAGATAAATGTACTGTACTTTTTGTACTATATGCCTATTTGCTTTTATTAGCTTCTCAATGTACACAAAAGCATACGTAAGTTTAACCCTATATACTCATTCAGCCTCAATGATCAATATATAGTAAATTTTGTTCCTTCTCTTTTCATTTCTTCTACCACTGACATCTTAAAGTAAGCTCCACATAGATCATGAATACATTCTTAATTATGTATCCCTTATTAAAAGCACTAAAAAAATATCACTACCTTTTACAGGAGAGGTCACATATACACAGAGACAGAGAGATATCATCTGCCTTTCTATAAAAATCCAGAGGTACAAGATAAGCTTAATCACCACCAGATCAATTCAGGCAGGTTCCTACAGTAAGAAGCCCAAATAGTTGCCAGCTACCCCACTCAAAAGTTGACTGCTAATCACCAAGCTAACTCCAAAAAGGAAGCCTGTTACAGGAGAGGAATCAAACTATAATATCACACAACATGGTTTGTACCAGTAATCTCCATTCTGCCTGCTCATTAGAAACACCTGGGGATCTTTGAAAACATTCCATTAAATCAGAATTCCCACAACACTATATGTGTTTACTGGAAATAATTATCACAGCAATTAGAAGATTACAAGTCATTTTGGGGCTGGGAGAATAAGTCAGTGGTAAAGCACACATCTGGCATATGTGAGGCCCTGGATTTCAATCCCTAAGAAAAAAAAAATCCTAAGGGGGGGGGGGGAACGTTGCTAGGCACAGGAGTGTATGCCTGTCATCTTAGTGATTTGGGAGACTAAGGCAGTAGGATTGCAAGTTCAAGGCCAGCCTCAGCAAGTTAGTAAGGACTTAAGCACCTTAGTGAGACACTGATGCAAAATAAAAATTAAAAATGTCTAGGGATGTAGCTCAGTGGTAAAGCTCCTCTGGGTTCAATCCCTAGTATCCCTTTCACCCACCCCCACCTCCACCCCAAAGAGACATCTTAAATTCTCAACAAGATGCTGGTACTAACACTTCCCATTGTACAGACCAGTGCTAGTACAGAGAGGGCCCAACACCTTCTTTTGAGAGGAACATGACACATTTCTAAAAAGGCTTTCTTCCACCATGAAATGCTGTATATTGTCACAAAGTACTTCACAGAACCAAAAAAGAAAGTGCTACTACTTCTCTAGTAGGGCTAACAGTAGCTGACAGCAAGGACCCAGTTAAGAACTAGAAAGACCTAGGACTGGGGGTACAGTTCAGTGGTAGAATGCTTGCATAGGAATGTACAAGGCTTTGGATTCAATCCCCAACACTGAAAAGACAGACAAAAAGAGAGGACATCCTAATCATTTTGATGCCTTTGGGGCGGGGCAGGGGGGGGGAGCCTTTTCTGGGAATGGAGTGATTCTCCTTCATCATTAATAGCTAATATCAAACCATATTCATCTTTACTCACCTTATCAAAAAATAATGATTCAGTTCCAACCCCATGCTTGCTGGCATCTGCCATAGAAGAATCCTTTAGGCTGAGCAGTTTGGGTTTCTTCTGCAAAGGAAAAAAAAAAAAAAACAGATATGTGAGGCTCAAAGTGGACTTCTCTGACTTGTATTTTCATCTCTGTTAAATGGTTTCATTACTGAAATTGCTGCTGATGAATAAATTGAAATAAATAAGAATTCAAGTCACTAACTCACTTTATACCCTAAAAAATTTCTACTCTCTTTCTCTCTGTTTGCCTGTCAATTTGTTTCTCCATCAGAAACTCATAGAATCTCATACTACCCCTAAAATGTTATCTCCAGAAATGATCACAGCATTACTGTGGAAAACTTTCAGAATATCCTTACTTTTCCTAGAGGCCAAAAGTAACTTAATTTCTAATCTAGTACCACTGATTTCTTTTTCTATCAGATGAGGAAAAAAAAAAAAAGGCTATTTATAAAAACTATCTGGCATGTGTTGCCTATGGTAGACAAAATTCAATCTTTACCCTTTAATAATGTTTTAATTTAAAAATTCATTAAAAAAACATACTTTACTTTCCTAATAGAAAGAATAACTATCTCATCAATAATATCCACTCAGAATAATTTAAAGGGAATGAACAGGCTATGCTATAGTCCTGTCAAAAAAATTTTTTTTCAGTGCTGCGGTTGAATTGAGGGTCTCACACATGCTAGGTACTCGAAGTCCAAGAATTTACTTTAAAAAACCCACTTCTCACTAGAAATTCATAAACTTTTTAAGAAGCAGCACATTTACCTTGGCCATCTCAGCCCACATTCATAGGAGCGATAGCCTCTGCTCATAATGCCTATAAAAAGCAGGTGGAAATTGTAGCTCCCAACATATTGTTTCCACCTGCATATCATCAATTATGGAAGGAAAATAAATCCAAGAGTGGAGCCTATCTGCAAAGATGATTCTTGCTATCCATATAATACCTTTACTGAAGTGAAAAAAAGAGAAATCATAACTGTTCAATTTGATTTCAAAAAGAGAAACCATTAAAAACACACACACAAATTAGGGTCCTTCAAAAATATTGGCAACACCTACTACGTCAGTCCCTGGAGTCAAGTCATTTGTCACCTTTTTTTATTTTTAAGTTGTAGTTGGACACAATACCTTTATTTTATTTATTTATTTTTATGTGGTGCTGAGGATTGAACCCAGGCCCTCGCACATTCGAGGCAAGTGCTCTACTGCTAAGCCACAACCCCAGCCCCCAGTCAGTCACCTCTTACTATTAGAAATTTCACTAGCTTCTCCGATTCTTCAATGAAATTGTGTAGACATGTTTATCTTTTCCATATTACATACTGCTTTAGAATTCATGTAAGATTTCAACATTTGTTACATCCATTTATTCCTATTCCTATTATAGTTGCATTGCAAAGAAGGGGAGAAAGCTTAGTTTTCTGTAGACAGGCCATCAGTGTTTTACTATAACAAGAAGCATCATGTGATGGGTTACTAACAGGAGCTTAAGACCTCCTTCTGCTATAGCCCAAAGGCTCTGCCTTGCAGATTAAGATGATATAGATCAGATCTGGCAACCCAACAAAGAACCCTGGGCAGGACAGGCCCCTAGTTAAAGAGTTCTCACAAAGCACCTGGGCTATATTTGCAAGTAGACCCCAGAGACCATCCCCTTATATTTCTGAAACAATTATCAAGCCTAAACATCATCCTAGCAGAAAGCAGACTTAAAGAAGGGAAAAATTAGTAAATCTCATAAAGCCTTAGCAGCAAACAAAAATAAATAATAGCTCATAGCAAAGAAAATTAGAAATAAAACAGTCAAAAAACCACAATAATCCAAGCAACAAATATTATTCTAACATTCTTTTGCAAAACCAGATAAAAAGTTTTACGATTAAGTTTCTGTGACCTATACAACTTGCTATGAATATTCAGGATCCAACTGTCACCCTTAAGATAAGAACACACAATCAAACCTAGAATACTTATATACTGGGACTGCTTGTGGAAGTTAAAATGAGTAGCTCCTGCCCATTCTCACCTTCACTGGAGGTGTGGTTCCTGTTCCAGAGTGCCTGCGGATTTGGCAGCCATTCTGGCTGGGCCTCTGTGGCTTGTTGTTGAGTTGGGGCTTCTTCACAGTGCCTCCATGGTCATTTCTCACAGAATCAACCTTCTCTGCAGTTGTTTTGCTTAAAAGCTGATTAAGACACATGCAAGAGATTAATGCTCTGATCAAAGCAAGTTAAGTAGCATCTAGGAAGTCCCATTCTGATCATGGCTTACCAACTTATCTAAGATGATAATTCTAAATAGTGCAGTTTTTCTAAATTAAAGCTTACCACAGAGCTGTTGGCATCTGGTAGAAACTGTCCAAATTCTGACAAAAGATCTTCTTGGTTTTTAAAGAGACGAGCCACCTGGGCATATACCTCCTGCTCAGTCAAAGCTGGAGTATAGTTTCCTCCAGCCTCCTTGGCATTGCGTTGTTCTTTCTGAGGAATTGCAAGTAGGAAGAGATCATAGTAGAGGGCCACCGTTTTCAATCACATACCACTGAACACTTTCTATAATATTTGATGCTCCTATATCATCTACATAGGCTGCACTAAAAAAAGTCTATGTTCTTGATACTTGTTTTGATGACAGACATTTACATTGAGAAAGAACAGAAGATGCTGATGACAATTAATTACTTTTAAAATTAGGGCAATAAATGTTAATGTGCCTGGGTGGTGGTGGACTGATAAAACAAAATATTAGAGAACTTTCTGCTCTTATAGTAGGTTAACCAGTCTACACAAATTGCCCTCTAAACTTAACAGATAAAACATGTATTCATTTCACCAGCCACTGACTGGATGATACAGAGCACTCAAATTGGGCAAATAAAACTGACTTTAACGACACTTACCTGATATGTGTGCAAAATCTCTAGGAACGCTTTGTAGATATCTGGTTGGCCCTGGAATCTGTTCTTGATCTTATTAACATAGTTGATGGCATGATTAAATTCCACAGGCTGATTGTTCTGCAAGGATGGGGCAGTTCCCAATGAGATTGTCACTGGTGTGTGAGGCTGGACCGGTGGAGAACGTGGGGATGCATATGGTGGGAGTGGGGGAGTCTGCTGACTGGCTGGAGTATGTGCTTGTAACTGGGAAGGCTAAAAAGGAAAAAAAAGCCTTTATTCAAGAGCATAGATGGTTTGACAAAGGGCTAGAAAGTTCAAACTAAAAAGAAACAAAATGTCTGATCAACTGATATCCTTTACTTCTCCACTCAGGGCAGGCTAGTTTAGCTCAACTCAAATCATACTGGATAGGGGTAGGAGATGTAGAGGTATTGCAAATTATGATACAAATATCTTAAGTCTTAAACTTTCTAAAAATAAATTACAACCTTGAAACTGGAGCCATCTCCATTATAGAGAAGAGTTTTTCATGTGCTCACTATCTCAACAGGTACACAAAGGAAAAAAAACAAAAAAACCAACTCATTCTATATGGATCTTTAATTTCAAAGATAACAACACTTTAACTCCACATAAAAATGTCTTTTAGACCAGCTCTGTCCCGTAGACTGTGAGATCATGAAATGTTCTTTATTTGCACCATCCTGTAAAATAGCCACTAGCCATATGTGGCTACTGAGCACTTAAAATGTGGTCAGAGTAAATGAAAAGCTGAATTTGTTTAACTGATTTAAATTAAAATACAGTCATATGTGGCTAGTGTACCAAACAGTGTGGGTCTAGACCAACAACACACCATCACCACCACCACCATCATCAAGATCTTCTAGTCTGATATGACCTAACCTGAAAAACGGAATATCTTTTTCAAATAACCATGTGTGACTTAGTACCCTAAATTTAGTGCCCTATTTTAGTACCCTAAATTTGACCATGGTAAAATGATCATTTCCAAGCTGGGTGCAATGGCACATGCCTGTAGTCCCAGCTACTTGGGAAGCCAAGGTTAGAGGAAACCTTGAGCTCTCACTGGTTCCTGATATGTCAATTTAAATAGATAACTAAATATGTGATATGCAAATGTGAGCCACATGATAGTGATGCCTACATCTTCTCTAATGAAATCTTTGTGATTTGTCTATTATTTGAGTTTTATAAAGGGAAAATGTCAAGAAGGATGCTTTCTAGGGGATACATTTCATACAATGCAGTATTTGCCAAGTGCTCACCTTGCTAACTTTGGCAGGTGGGGGCTGAGGAGCAGGTTGAGCAGGAGCTGGAGCTGACTGGGCTGAAGGCTGAGAAGGATGCTGGGGTGGTGGCTGAGGCTGGGGCTGGATGCCGTGGGTGGGGATCTGATGAACCTGGCCAGGAGTTGTCACATTCACCATATCATTGGTCTGTACTTCAATTTTATAGCCAGGAGGCAAGAAGGTGTTGAAACCCATGATCAGGTCAGGGTGGCCTTTGAACAACTGTGACACACGGCTAATCACTCCTGGAGTGTCAATGCTGATTAAAAAAAAAAAAAAAGAAAGAAAGAAAGAAAGAAAAGCAGGTTGATGAATAGCAGGTTTGATGAACACCCTAAGGAAAAAATTTAACTAGGTTTTCTCTAAAAAGGAAAATATAAAAAATAATCAACCTGTATAGTATAATAATTAATGACATAAATAATTCTGAAATTCTAAATCTAAGCCCAAAGAGGCTTGGTCACAATTTTGAAGAAAATACAGTCATGGCAACAATTCTATCAAGAAGATTCTCAGTGAATCTAAAGTTGTGATTCCTGAGCAAGATTCAACCTTTGAATTTTGCTATTTCTTGAAATTAATACTTGGCTTTGGTGGAGGTACATACATTTGCCCTTAGCATGTTACAGTTTAGTAAATGCAGCATTTACAGTTACCACTGCCCCCCCCCCCAAAAAATCAAACTTTGATAAGCCAAAATAAACCATTTTCTGGGCATGTTATTCTCTTGCAATAGTGAGCCACGCCAGAATACTAGGGTATATTAAACTAATCCAAAAATCAAGTAGCCTAAATTATTATTTGTGTTACTCAACTGATTCAGATACAGCATTAAGAAATATTCTAGGTAAGAAAAATTTACCAATAGGGAGAAAACAAAAGTCTAGTGGCCGTAATTTCCATCAACAAACCAACAAATAAGTCTGTAAAATAAAAGCATGATCCTGAAAATTCAACCTCCAAAAGGGGACATCCAACAGATAAGAATAAGTCTCCATCTAAAAACAACATGCCAACCACAAACTTAAGTGTAACCACATCTTTTACCTCTGAGATTTAAATTCCTTCATGATGTCAAGGAAATCATTGTAGACCTGAGGCTGACTACCAAACTGTAGCTTCACCTGGTCAAGATAGGACAGTGCATCTTCCACCTGAGGCAGGAATAAATCTCAAAGTTATAAAAAATTAAAACATAAGCAAAAATCACAAGAAAGGCTTTATACCTAAATACATTCAAAACAGTAAATGAAATATAAACATAAAGTATTAGAAATTAGCAGTGGGTGCTAATAATAAAATTCAATCTTCAAAATCAACTTAAAAAATCTGTAGCCTTCCCTGGACAATTCTGGAGAAAATGATCAGTAATTAACAATCACAATAATGCAGCAAGATTCATTTCATAAGTACCTATTAACATACAACATGGTGAGCCCCATGCAGACACTAAAGAAATCAACAAGTAAATCACAGCCACCATTCAGTAGAAATTTGTTCACATCTAGTCAAGAAATCATAACACAGTGGGATAAATGGGTAATCACCAAATACCTGTTCAGTGCATGGAAATGGCATTGCCCTACCCCACAAAAAGTGAGGACAATCCATAGATAAAGCATAAACTGAGACCTAATGATGAGTACAATTTGTCAAAAGTACAGATTAGCAAAGAAAGTCAGAGGAAGCAGCATGGGCAAAATCCCAGACAGGACATTAGGTGGCAAAACATTTGGAAAACTGAGAATAGTTTACCTTGACTGGAGGATAAGTATTGACAGGAAGAGTAAGAAGAGATAAGACCAACATAAACAACAACAAAAACAGGCTCTAGATCCTGAAAGAAATTATACATCTTATTTAAAAACAATTTAGATTTTTAAAAAAACATTTGTTTTATTTGTAATTGTACATGGACACAATACCTTTATATATTTTTTATTTATGTGGTTCTGAGGATGGAACCCAGTGTGCCACACATGAGGAAAGAGCTTTACAACCGAGTCACAACCCCAACCCTAGATTTTTATCATCTGCATTTTCATGTACTCAATTTGACCAGTGTTGGGGGGGGGGGGGACCACTGGTGCAGAGCAGGATAGACAGCCTAAAAGAGAAAAGGAGGAAGACCAGTTATGCTATGGGACTAATTGGATAACTCACATTAGGAACTGTGACTTGAATTTCAGTAATGGTGAAGAGGAGAGAGAACAGCACATATGCAAAAGCTTTTAAAAGATTCAAATAACAGGGCTGGGGTTGTGGCTCAGAAGTAGCACACTTGCCTGGCATGTGTGAGGCAACTGGGTTCTATTCTCAGCACCATATAAAAATAAATGTCTATCAACAAAAAATAAATAAATAAATAAAATTTAAAAAAAAAAAAAAAGATTCAAAACAAAATTTGGGGACTGGCCAGATGAGCAACAAGGAAGAGCTGGCATTCAAAAGTGACTCGCCACAAAAAGTAAAATGTTTGAAGGGTAACAAAGTTATGAGTCTGATTTAGGACAACTCAACTTTAAGTTACTCAGGAGACATCTAAGGAAATCCCCACTAGGTGTTTCCTATGTATTCTGGGATAGACATTTTGTATTATACAAAATAACAGGCTTAGGAAAGTTTCAGAAATAATTTGGCCAATATGGCTCCTCAGCACTTTCTTCCTCCCTCAACAACTCCTACCCATTCAGGACACTGTTTTAAGGCAGCATCTTGGAATGCTGAATTAAGCCACACTTTTTGATATATTATGAAATGGAACATTTATGTTCAAATAAACCATTAAATGATGCTATAGTCTAAATGTTGTCCTCCAAAATTTATATGTTGAAATTTAATCACCAATGTGAAAATATTTACTTGGATCTTTAGGAGGGGAAGTCATAAAAACAAAACCTCATGAATGGATTAGCAACTTAGCAGAAGGGTTGGTGGAAACTAGTATTGGTCCTTTTTACCCTTCTATGTTCTGCCACATGAGGGCAGTTTTTTTCTCCCCACATTTTTTTATTGGTACATTATCATTTTACGTACTGATGGGATTCGTTGTTACATATCATATATTACACAATATACAATATAACAACATAATTTGGCTAATATGGCTCCTCCTCGGTACTTTCCTCCTCCCTCAACAACTCTTACCCAATAGGGACACTGTTTTAAGGCAGCATCTTGGAAGCAAAGACTGGAACCTCACCAGACTTCTAGATCACCTAGATCTTGAATTTTCCATTCTCCAGATCTATTAGAGGTAAACTTCCATTATTCATAAAATTACCAACTCTCAGGTATTTTGTTAAAGTAGTACTAATGAATAGAGGCAAGTAATATTTCAAGAGTTGTCTAAGCTGGGCACAGTGGTAAAAACATAGTCTCAGCCAGTCGAGAGCCTGAGGCAGAAGGATCACTTGAGCCCAGGAATTTAAGACCTTATTGGACAACATAGCAAGACATGGTCTTAAAAGCAAAAACAGAATGGTCCAAATTTCAATTCTGACTGTGGTTATTCAGAGTATTTCAGTATTGTTAGGACACATATTGTATACTGGTCAATTCCTACTTGTATGATACTTCAAAAATTACGTGACAATTTCTGTTGAGATTCAATAGACTAACTTATACTCAAAACTTTCCTTTTCAATGTCTCATTAATGGCCAAGTTGATTGAACAAAAAACTGTAAGGTATGCAGTAGAAACAAAAGATTTAGGAAGATACTTAAGAACAGCATTTACCACTACGTGACAAGTAAGAGTTATCAAAAATATAATATGAAGTTGTGTGCGGTGGCACATGCCTGTAATCCCAGTGGCTCAGGAGGCTGAGACAGGAGGATCTTGAGTTCAGAGCCAGCTTCAGCAACTTAGTGATGCCCTAAGGAACTCAGTGAGACCCTGTCTCTAAATAAAATACAAAAAGTAGAACTGGGGATGTGGCTCAGTGGTTAAGTGCCCCTGAGTTAAATTCCCAGAAGGGGGGGGGGGGGGGGGGGGGGGGGGGGGCAAATTTAAGCTAGATAAGGTGTCACACATGCCTAATGACTTGGGAGGCCAAGGCAGGAGGACTGCAAGTTCAAGGCCAGCCTTGGCAACTTAGTAAGATCCTGTCTCTAATTAAAAACAGGATTGGGAATGTAGCTCCATGTAAAGCTCCCCTGAATTCAATCCCTAATACTTCAAACCACACACTCACAAAGAGTTAAGTTTATAGAGCTGTCAGTGTAGCTCAGTGCTACATCACATCCCTAACATGTATGAAGCCCTGGGTTCAATCCTGAGCACGGCAAACAAAACAAAAAGGAGCATATTATAAGCTTTTCTGGAAGGTTAAGATATTACCTATAGAATATAGTATTAATACAGCATTAAATCACACAAAATCAATTAAAAATGTTTTTCAGGAGTTGGTAGGGTGCTAAGCTTACAGAAATATTACATTTTGCAATACAGTTATCATTCTATAAGCAACTTGTGAAGACATTTTAAGAAAAACACCAAATTTTCCCAATGAGCCCAAATAATTTGCACTCTTATGGATGGTGCTATAGTCATCTCTTAATCACAAGAACTCTACTAGATGCATAAAATTTGATAGTACTGAACCCACTAGGTATTTTCCTATACACACTTGTTTATGATGAAGTTTTATTTATAAATTAGGCATATAAGTAGATTAACAACAATAACTTACCTTGGATATTACCAACCTCAGCATACAATTTTCCCCCTTCTTTATTGAGAACTTTCATATTTTCACTTAAAAAGAAGTACTATAACACTTCCCTTTAGCATATATGAATCGCCAGCACCACCACTATTCTTGCACTTTGGGGCCTTTATTAAGTCAAATATTTAATACTTGAGTGCAAAACTGTGATACCACAACAGTAGGCCTGATAATCTCACATGATCTGATAACCAAGAGGACTACTAAGTGAATAACAGGCAGGTTTTCAGTGCTTTAAAATGCATGAGGCATCTATAGAGAAGTGAAGCTTGTGTTCTCAGCTAACCTTGTCTCTGCTTACTTAAATATATATACTATAAGTATAGTATAGATATGATGAACAAAGGTATGATTTATATCCCACTTTGGACAGAGGGAGAGTATAAGATTTCATACTATTCAGGATGGCATGATTCTTAAAATTCATAAATCGTTTTATTTCTAGAATTTTCCATGTAATATTTGCAGACCTGCAGTTAACTACAGGTAACAACAGAAAGCAAAGAGAAGCAAGTGAAACTGTGGCTAAGGGGGGACACTAATAAATCAGGGAAAACAGAAGAGTATATTGTCTTTTAAGAGTATATTGTTCATTCCTAACTGCAATAATTTTGTGTGCTCAGGCTATTATAATCAAATGAAGATCTAACATTTATCTCATTATGATTATAATAATTTTCAATTCATATTTCCTAGGAAAACTGAAACCTGGTGTACTTGCTACAGCAATCACATAGTTTGAAAACACTCAAGTAAGCAGAGACAAGGTTAGCTGAGAACACAAGCTTCACTTCTCTATAGATGCCTCATGCATTTCAAAGCACTGAAAACCTACAGCACATATTTAGAAGAGATGAAAACAATAACATCTCATTCACAATTAGTTTCCCCCAAAGGAAAGGCATTCCCAAAAGGAACATATGTTTTACTAATGATAGCAAATCAGTTATTCATAAAAAGGAATAAGAACAACAACAAATAAATAAATAAAAATAAAAAAGAAGAAAGGACTAAGAAGCAGGCACAGTGGCGTACATCTATAATCCCAGCAGCTCGGGAGGCTGAGGCAAGACGATCACAAGTTCAAAGCCAGCCTCAACAACTTAGTAATACCATCTCAAAGTTAAAAAAATAAAATGGGCTGGAGATATGGCTCAGTAGCTAAGTGCCCCTGAGTTCAATCCCTAGTACATATGTACCTACGTACATATATACATAAATAAATGGAATAAGAACCACCAGATATACTACTGAACGGATTTACTGGACAGGCTTATAGCCAATCATGTGCACACAATAAAAGTCTTATATGATATTAAGAACTATAAGTTCAAAAGGAAGCAACCCAAAACTGGATTTTAAAGTTCATTTTATATGAAGAGTCCTTGAATTCTAATAATATTTGAGTATTGTGCATTCATATATTCCACTAACATTTCTTATAGCTATTCTTCTCTGGATCAGGAACTAATGTCAACACGAGAAACAGATTTCAAAACAAAAAACAAAGCTTCTTTTGATTCAACCCTTAGTTTTTAATGTTAAAAGTTGTAACCACCACTAATAGGATAAAGCTATTATTTCCTACTAAACTTTTGACCCAAAAAAGGGAGATGAATACCACCTTGAGCCTCTGAAACTGCTGCTGTCCCTGCACTGGTGCAACGGGTGGGGCTGGATGGGCATGACTCTGGACCACTTGGCCTCCGTGGGGCTGGACAGCTGTTGGATGATGATGACTGCTATGAACCGCTGCTATGGTGGGCCCATGACTACCAGAGTTCTGTGGTACAGCAGAAACCTGGGATAGACAAAATACAGACAAGAAATTTCAAAGCTTGTGCATTCTTCCTCAAACACATTTAGAGAAATAACACAAACGCAAATGCACAAGGCATACCTGCATAGCTCTGAATGCATAAAAATAATTTATTAGAAATCCAAGTTTCCCAAACAAGAGAATTAATGAAATTAATTACAGTTCATCTATACCAATTGTTTTGTAGCTATTAAAACTACAGAGCTTAATGCTTCTTAAACTCTGTGGTTAAGGTTCAGTTTTCCAAAAAAAAAAAAAAAAAAAAGGAAATTTCTAAGAAAGTGAAATAAAAAAATCAACTACATAATTTTATTAGATTTTACAGATATAAAATAACAACATCCACCTGCTATAAATAAAAGTTTCTAAACACTCAATTTCTGTCATCTCATTACAGGCTAGTAACCAAGTGTACACATCAGTCATTTGAGGACCACATTTTGAATAGTACTGATAAAAGGAGACACACACACACACACACACACACACACACAACATTAGAAAAGATTTTGAACCCTAGACAACAAATATATAGCAAAATGTTAGCATTTATTTTATGGAAGTGGAATTAGAAAAGATTTTTTTAAAAGATATTTTATTAGTTGTATGTGGCCTTTTATTTATTTTTATGTGGTGCTGAGAATCTAACCCAGTGCCTCACACATGCGAGGCAAGCGCTACTACTGAGCCACAACCCCAGCCCTAGAAAAGATTTTTATTTGTTTTATTTCACTTATCTTTTACTTGCTACGATGACCAAGTATTATAGTCATATACTGCAAAATGACATTTCTGCCAACAACAGACCATACATATATGATGGTGGTAACATAAGATTACAATAGAACTGAAAAATTCCTACCATTTAGTAGCATAATAGCCATCACACAACTCAGTATGTATCTGCAGTGATGCTGGTGTAAACATATTTACTCTACTGCTACCAATCTTAGAAGAACATAGAACAGTTATGTACAATACATAATATTTGATAATGATAATAAATGATGATGTTATTTACCATATCATACTCTTTTGTGCGTGTGTAGTACTGAGGATTAAGCCCATGGACATGCTATCACTGAGCTACATACCCAGACCTTTTTATTTTGAGACAGCGTCTTGCTAAGTTACATAAGATGGTCTCAAACTTGCAATCCTTCTGCCTCAGCCTCTTGAGTAACTGGGATTATGGGCATACAACACTGGCCTTTATCAATATTTTAGAATGTACTCCTACTTATTAGAAAAAGTATAACATAAAACAGTACGACAAATTATGCTGGTAGAGTCTCATATATTCTGTGTTTATTTTTATTTCCTCTTCAAGAGGCCATGTCAAGTGATTGATCTATACCACCTGGGTTTAAGCATATTCTATGATGTTTGCATAATGACAAAATGTACTTCTCAGAAAATGTTCCTGTCATTAAGTGAGACAATTATACTTCCAAAGTTTAAAAAAAAAAAAAAAAATTTATTGAGTTGCTGGTGGTTTGGCCCCAAATGTTTTTCTTTCAAACTCTTATCCTCTTCTAAGTTTAGGGACAAAAAAAAGTACCTTTCCTTCCATTTTTATTACAACAAAATGCTGTATAAAATTTCCAAAGTACTTTTACTTTCCTATTTCAAAACCGCTAATCACAAAAAATAACTAATGACAATGTACATGACTGCTTCATACCAAAATAAATAGAGTAAATGACATAAAGTTAATTTCTTCTAAGCAATGTAAGTTGTATACCACAACATAAAGAGGGAATAAAGCTTTTTTTTCAAATCATCACAGGTTTATATAAGTTACCCAGGGGAGGGCATAAGGAAAGAGAGAAATAAAGCAACTAAGCATTAATCTATGAAATATTACAAAACATATTAGGACTTATTTAAATAATTCTATAAGTTCTAATATCTCTCTCACAGGAAGAGGTATTATTCTGAGATTATATATTTCAAAATGTGTGTTTTTACAGGTTTTACAAGTTTATTGGAGTTTATGTTTGAGATGGCTGGTTTTATATAAGCATATTACAGTTTCCAGTAGGAATACATGTAACTATCCCTAGTGTAGGAAACAGTCATGAACTAGTTCAGATAATAAAACTAATCACCCAAAGAAAACAAGCAACTATTTTTCTTCCAAGTTCCAATCATCTAATAGTAGACTGGAGAAATGAAATGAGCATATTTACATAGTTCACACCATAATGCAAACAATACACATTAAAATATAGATCAGTATAAGGAACAGTTTTTAAAAAATGTGTCAAAAGAAAATAAAGGTCACATCAATATGATTTTAATTTTCTTTAGGTACTGGGGATTGAGTCCACGGCACTTTACTACTGAGATTGCACATTATTTTCGCTATTTTTTATACCTTACACATACCTGTAAGATTTCTTTTTTTGGTTTGTTTTTCTGGCCAAACTTGCATAGTTCTCATTATTATTATGTACTGGGGATTAAACCCAGGGCCTCAAGCTTGCTAGGCAAGCACTCTACCACAAAACTATTAACTCAGCTCTTTTGATTTTATTTTGAAACAGGGTCTTACTAAATTACCCAGATTGTACTCAAACTTGTGATCCTCCTACCTCAGCCTCCTGAATAACTGGGATTATAGGCATGTGCCATTGCATCTGGCTTGAATTTTTTTTTTTAACATCTAACTCAATGCTTAATATAAAATTTCTAACTAGATGAAATCACTATCCCTCCTTCCTTACTCCCCCGACTAGTTCCTATTTACCTGGTAGCTGGGTGTTACTGAGTATTGAATTCCTGTAGCTGATTGCATGGTCTCAGACACCGCTTCATATACAGGAGGGGCAGGGGCAAGCACCCGATGCTGGTGAGGAAAAGCGTCTGTGCTGCCAGGGATCCGACGCTGCTGGGCCGCATACACCGGTGACTCCTGGTCATCCAAACGTCGCTTCATTCTGCACTCATGCTCAGGGATGCACTTCAAAACCTGCAAAAATCAAAAAGCAATGAGAGCAAAATAATTTTAACTCCAGTATGATGTATACAACTCAGGACCAGTCACTCAGGTTTAGTGTAAGTTTAACTCCCAGAACTGATTATCAATTTCATCTTACAGATGGTCACTAGATAGTTCAATCGTGCACACACACACCTTATAGTGAAAAAGTTATAGTGGAAAGACAAAAATTTAAATAAAATAGTTTTATTTAATTTGTACGATAACCTAAAAAGTCACCTCCAATTTAAAAACAAACACAGCCCTTTTTCCCCCTTTTTAGTTTGCTCCTCAAATGCTGCCATTCCTAATATTAATTACACAATCCACATGCTGCAAAAATATTCCTTCCTTCCTTCCCTTTTCTTTTCTTTCTTTCTTTCTTTATTTATTTTTATGTGGTGCTAAGGATCAAACCCAGGGCCTCACACATGCTAGGCAAGCACTCTACCACTGAGCCACAATCCCAGCCCCTTGTTCTTAACTCTACTCAAAACCTAGTAAAATTAGGGTCTGATTTTAAAATATCAATTACTTCGACAATTAAATGCTATCATGGAAAGAACACTGAGACAGGAGTAAAAGGACCAAGGATATACACATTTCAACAAGTTCCTTGTTTCATGTGATTTTCGGTTTCCCAACTAGCAAATCATGTCCAAGGTTTCTTTTGTCTCTTTCTAGCATTCTTTAATATAAGACACAATTTCTTTAGCTTACTAATACTTTATAAAGGACATTTTCCTTCCAACAGGACACAAAAGTAACAAAAATAGAACTTTACTAGAAATCCTCTTGGGTCTTTTCAGAGATTTTCTAACATCAGAACCACTAACTCAAGCATAATGCAGCATAGTTAAGAAATTATGCCCCAAGATGGGCTGTAATCCCAGTGACTTGAAAGACCGAGGAATGAGGATCTCAAGTTTCAGATCAGCCTTGGCAACTTAACAAGACCCCATCTCAAAATAAAAATTTAAAAAGGGCTGGGGATGTAGCTCACTGGAAGAGCATCCCTGGGTTCAGTCCCCAGTGTGTGTATGTGGGGAGTGTGACCAAGCCTCACCACTTTCCAATCCCAGAAACTCTGAAAAAAGACATTACTCCTGTAATAAGAAACTAAAAATTAGCTGGGCACCGTAGTACATGCCTGCAATCCCAGCAGCTCAGAAGGATAAAGTAATATATACTTAGCCTGATATTTCAAAAATTTTCATAGATATTTTCATAATTTTCAGATAAGGGGTTAGAAATATAGATTTGCACATGCTACTTGGTACCTGGAAGAAGAGCCTCTAGTCAACTAACTATGAACACTAAACCTCAAGCCTATTTTGTGATGAGAAATTGGTTCTCATAAATGCATAAAAGTCTTGAAGACTTTTTGACTGCTACTTCTACCTATGACTTAATCCATGTTTTTTTTTGGTCTTGGTTTCTATTGGTTTAAAAATTGTATGTTTAACTCCTCTGAGATTAATCTCTCTAAAATCCAAAACCAACACTTACAAGTGATAAAACATATGTGTGAACAGCACAGCACAAAACTAAGGAAAAAACACTGGACACCTGTCAAAGAATTGGATTCTATTCAACTCTGACATAAAAGCTTTGTAACTCTGGTCCTGTTTTCTCATCTACAAAAAGGGGAGATTAGACTACCTTAGTGATTCCTCATGGCAGGTGAGTGGATCAATCTACAGGAAAATGAAAAAAAAAAAAAAAAGATTGTAGCAAGTTTTTCATAGATTAAGTATTAAAGTACTAAGGATTACTCTAAGATCATGCTCTTTTTTATTATTAAAATATCATTTACTTTATAAAGTGATTGTCATTTTATAAAATATTTAACTTCTTTCAGCTCTAGAGTTTGCTTTCCAGACCATGTTTACCACACTTAGGAGGCTCTCCAGGGTGGGAGCGTGCTCTGAACCATACTTTAGTCCCTTACCAATCACTACTCATAATTCTCTTTCCTGTCTCTCAAATCGCCACCCCTTTATTTTAGGCCTTCATCATCCCTCATCTAGACTGTTGCCAATACTCTCCAGCATCTCTTCTCCTCTAGTATATCTTCTACACTGATTTCAAAACCACCTGCCTCAACTGAATCTAATCTAGCTGTAAAATTATCACTGGCTTCTATCATTGAAGACACAGTCAAAATTCTTTTGTTTAACCTACAAAACTCTTAAGAGCTTGGGACAGTTGTGTGCCTGTAGTTTGGCTACTGGGGAAGCTGAGGAGGGAGGATCACTTGAGTCCAGGCATTTGTGACCAGGCTGGGTATCACAGCAATACCTAGGTCTCAAAACAAACCAAACCAAACCAAACAAAATCCTTCTTTACTAATTGGAGGAGAAAGTTAACTTACTGATTATCTTCATCCAGTCCCCACCCTGTCATCCAGTCCTGCCAAATGTTTTCAACATTCCCTTAAAGAAGTTCAAGTCTATAAGCTTCTTCAAGGTAGGGTCCTTTTCAACTGTGCATTCTCCACACTCAACTATAGTGTCTTCCTTTCGTAGCCATAGGGGATTGATTCCAGGACCCCTCCATGGATATCAAAACTCATGAAGGATAAAGTCCCTTATATAACATGGTATAATACTTACATATAATCTCTGCATAGTCTCACACATATATCCTCCCATACACTTTAAATAATCTCTAGATTACTTATAATGTTTCAGATCTGAGATTGAATAAATCTGTGAATGTGGAACCCATGGATACACCAAGTCAATTCACATGAAGATCTGGAGATGTGGCTCCATGGTGAGGCACTTTGACTAGCAGGCATGCATTCTAAGAAAATAAGCAAAAGTAATACTTAACATACTGAATGCCAAGTACCATTTTACACAATTGACAAATATGAATTAATTTAACCCTCACAACAGCACTGTAAGTAAAGTACTGTTTTTATTTTATAAACAAGGAAAACTGATACACAAAGAAGTAAACTCCCCCAAATTGCACAGCTATTATGAAGCAAAGATGCAATATAAATCCATAAAATCTGCCTCCAGAGCCTGGACTCTCAACCACTTAACTATTCCAGGCCTAACAGAAGAGAAGAAATAAAGAATCCCTTTACTTAAAGCACATGTGCACTGTGCAACTTCTGCATTCTTTAACCTAACACACACTTAACTAATTCATCCTTTCTGCAGCCTCAACATAGTAAGAGGAATGCTTTGGCAGCATTCATTCACATAATTAGCAAATTCTCAGTGAGTAAACATGAAGGTGGCAGATGATATTGGCTCTTGCCCTTGAAAAGCTTAAAAACCAGCTGGGAAGATCATATACAGCCTCACCAGTAATCAAATAAGTGTAAAATGATATTTACATCAAAGCAACTGGCAAAAATTAAACAAAATCATAATTGTGTGGATGAAAATATGGGAAAACATTATTAATGGAAATTCTAATCAACATACCCTACTTGGTTGGCATCCTAAACTTAAAATGTGCATAATGTTTAACCTAGCAATTTTCACTTGTCTCTATCCTATACATTTATTAAGTATATCTACTACAGAGTATGAAAATCTAAGTGTCTAAATAATAGTTGAATGAAGTTGACACAAATGTAGTATGGAAAGTGAACAGCAAATAGATCAGTATTCATTTACATTTACAGATATAAATGAGGCAAAAGTGAGAAAAGCTACCAAACACATAATGTTTGATCTCATGTATGTGTACACACATACAATGTACTTGATTTGTGCATTTCATTTTATATAAAGTTTGCATCAAATGAAAAATGCTATAAACACAGTGACAATAATATACATGCTCAAATACTGGGTGAAAGTACAGTTAATGTCTGGAATTTTACTGCAAATTGTATTAAGAAATTAGTTTAGATTCACAGATGAGTGGACAGATGTATGATAAAGCCAGTGTTCTAAAAGTGATAATAGTAAGCTCTATGTAGTGAGTATATGGGTGTTCACTACAAAATTCTACAAACTTTGCTATATATTTGAAGATATCCTTAATAAAATCTTGGAAGGAAACAAGGGGCAAACTCTATGAGGCCAGTCTTAGCAACTAAGTGAGGCCCTTTGCAACTTAGTGAGATCCTGTCTCAAAAATAAAAAGGGTTGGGGATGTGGCTCAGTGGTAAAGCACCTCTGGGTTCAATCCTCAGTTGAAAAAAAAAAAAATCAATTACAGATTTAAAATTTGGGATGAATTAGGAAGTACAGGATATATGCCATGAAATAGTAAAGTAATTTTAAAATTACAAACAAAAATAGACAGTTTTTTACATTCTTTGCCAATTCATTCATCCCACAAACAATTACCAAGTGCCTACTAACTGCCAGGTACTGGACTTAGTGTTAGGGTTCCAGGACTCAAGAGGGTATTTCCTGCCCAACAACAACCAAGTCTTCCATACATGGCTATAATAAAGTGATGTGTTCCTCAAAACAATCCTGTCAGAAAGACCTAGAACTCTTAATTTTAACAAATTTTTTATTCTAATTTGTTATATATGACTGCATAATGCATTACAACTCATACTGTACATATAGAATACAATCTTTTATATCTCTGTACACAAAGTAGAGTCACACCATTTGTGTCTTTATACATGTAGTTAGGGTAATGATGTCCATCACATTCCACCATCTTTCCTACCTACGCCCACGCCCCCTCCCTTCCCCTCCCCGCCTTTTCTCTATCTAGAGTTCATCTAATCCTCCCATGCTCCCCCCCAGCAACCCCATTATGAATCAGCATCCTTATATCAGAGAAAACATTTGGCATTTGGTGTTTTGGGACTGGCTAATGTCACTTAGCATTATATATACCACATTTTCTTTATCCACTCATCAACTAAACTCTCTTATTTTGAAGGCAGTTGACACTCAAAAGAAATCATGTGACTTGTTCCAAGTCATATACTTGGCTAAAGGAGCAATGGGTTAGACTCTTTCTCCTTAGAATACCTTACAGATCTATAGTAGGAAAATTGTATGGACTATAAAAATCCCACTTATAGAGGGGTACAGTGTAGTTCAAGGTTATAAAGTATTTGAATGTCAAATGGTAGGGCCACAGAGTCAGACACAGAAGTATTTTCAAGCACTGCTTCAGTTCACATTATTTTCATCTGCCACTATGGTCTTCAAATCATTTCAGATTTGAAACAGGGTTAGCAGAACTCTATGAAGGCAAAAAAGAGATTCAAAAGAATTAAATGATAGAAAATAGAAGGAACACTAATGTGAGTAAACAATAAAACAAGGTGACTCTGACATTATGGGGGAAATTCTGGAGGTTACACTTAGGGAGCAAACGTGATATATTTTAGAGAAATACTGAAGGGCAAAGGTAAAAGCTAAAGACCAATTTTCTACTCTTTATTAACAATGAAGAATTGGCCTCCTAGAAATCTAGACATTTATCCATGATTATTAAAATCCAAATGAAAAGTCCAACTTTATAGAAGCTTCTTAACTTTCTCACATTAAGTTTCAAATAATTGCCTTAACAAGGACCACTTTAGGGTGAATAAACTCAAAGTAAGAGTATATGTGAACTTCAAACTGCCCTATTCCAGAAGCTAAGACAACTTAAGTACATTTTATTCTTTCTAAAGTGAAATTAATTTTCAGCTGACCCTATAGTGCCTCTTAATTTTGTACTGATAGTTAAAGTTCCTTTATTTTATTTTTAATTTTAAAACTATACTGAGATTATCTTTTATTGGTAGTCAACATGATATAAAATGTGTCCTGGTTAGTTTATTTAAATGAATATTCAAAAAAATTGGAAGTTCCTCTTCAAAAGCAAAGAAATTTTTATCAAAACATTATGTAAATGTAACTTTATCTTGGTACAATTGCCCATGATAGTCTGCTCCAAAACCTGTCCGAAAATCCACCTCTAGTTTTAAATCTGCTAAGAAATGGAATCTATTCCAGAATAAAGGAGAGGTATTTTATTCGGAGTTTACCTATTGCTTAGAATTACAGCTCAGCAAAATAAACAATTTATTTTCTCAAAAGCCACAAGATCTAATACCCAAGTCTCAATTTTTATATTCTTCTAATGTAGTGGTGACCACAACTAGGGAGACTCTGCCTCACTCCCTACCCAGGCACAAATTTAGTAATGTTGGAAGACATTTTGGGTCATCATAACTTGTGGGGGAGAGGGAGTGTCCCACTGGCATCTTTATGGGTAGAGATCATGGATGCATCAAAACATCCTACAAAGCACTGGACATTCCCCACTACACATATATAATAAATAATTATTTGGCCCAAAACATCCGTAGTATTGCTGAGGCTGAGAAATCTTTACCACTCCATCTGGCATATACCTTTGGTGAATGCTGGTGGGATTATGTCACGTGACGTGACAATTTTTTTTTTTTTTACCATGGTACTTTAGAATAGTCATCTTGGCTATGCAAAGATATCACTGGCTTCTTTATGTCTTATTATTCAACTTTGACCATTAGTATACCAGAAAAACTTTTCATCCTCACCATCCAAATGTTTATTGCAGTTGCCTGTTTTGAATGTGTGTTAAACATACAATGCAACCAACTTCTCTTAACTGTCAATGCACGAATCTGGAATACAGCCATTTCATAAACTCTTGATTCCAGGTACCTTTCCACTAAGGTTCTCACTTATCATTTCTGGGTTTTTGTCGTCGTTTTGTT